CCCATCCCAAAAATAAGATGCCTCCGATATCCCCCAACTTCCCCTGAACTCCACTGATCTCTGTTGTTTATTAAGTGCTGATTTAGCTGTTTGCAGTGCGATCGCCTCTGTTTGTTCAATAAAAACAGATCCCAACTTAAGGTCGACAGAAATGTAACAGAAATCGTATTTGCAGTAACTTGAAAACAAATCAAGCGATCGAAATGTTTAAGATCGCCACAAAGGAGATCCTTTTTCTGTTTTATTTTCGCTCCACTCAAAAGCGGGGAGTGAGATGATCTTGTAGTGCATCGTCATTAAAGAAATATGTCGAAATTTACGAAGATTCGCTGCCAAATTAAAATTAAGAGAGAATGCCGCCAATGATCTGGGCTTTTGTCTTTTCGAAAGAGATTTAAAAACTTCCGGTTTTTACAAAACACGATCGTCGTAACTTGATATGTTTATGCGTTTCGGGCGATTCGCATAAACTTGGCAAAAATAAGAGACCAACAGCTGCCGGGAGCTTTTGGGATGATCGCGATCATCTCGTCCTCCCCGTTTCCTTTTCATTATTTATCCGCCGTCTTTCCTTTTTAGCCAGTTACAATCGCAGACAATTGAGCGGAAATGCGATATGAGAAATGTTGCACTGCACCGGATTTGAATGAGAATAAGAATGCGAGTGCAATCGGTGGTTCCAGAACGGAGGCATAATTATGCCCACAAAGGCGCAACCAACTGAGGCCTAGCCAAATCAAAAATACAACAAGCCACCGAGGAAAAAGGAAAAAAAAAGAAAAAGAAAAAGGACCAAGGACCAAGGGCCAGGGACAAGGACAAGGGCAAGGATAAGGGCAGGGCCAAGGACAGGAACAATCCAGGGAAAATCCAGCGTGAGAATCCCTCTGCGACGCAATTGAACCAGGGAGCAGGACTACGCAACAGAGTTTTCTGGTATCCACCAAGAACAGCATCATTCCTACACTCAGAGAAACCAAATAAGAAGCTGTGTAAGTATAATAACAATATATTCGCAGCAACAAGATATTCAAAATAATAATTTTGAATATTTTTTTGACAAAATTAATTATTAATTTGCATATCCCGAGCTTGAGAATGTTTTTGTCCTTTTATCCTTTTCTGTTTGTGTACCATCTTGCCACCAAACAACCCCATAAATGGAGACACTGGAGGGGGAAAGGGAGGCGCAATAGAGCCACCCCGTTTCCGGTCTTCGATGCCATTATGCGTTGGGGTTGGGGTTGCATAAATTATACAAAACAATGCTAGCACATATATGATTCTGGCAAGGATCAAATCGAAATGCGTAGTTCCTTTGATTGCTTTTCAAACTATGTTTTACGCGCTTTTAAGCGATTTTCGGTACAGTTGTCCCAATCCGAGCAGTTGGTGGAGTGCCAAGGTCTTGATGTCTTCCAGTTGACGGTGTTTTGCTTTTACACTGAAAGAATATGTTATTCTGAAGATATTATTCTTCACTTTGTATGTTATAAGAGAACCTTTTATTGAAGTTCAAGTTCAACCAATGAAATGCATATTTCTACAGTGTAGCAGGAATTCCACCCCAAAATTGAAAGTCCAAAAACCAGGTTAGCAGTTGAGTAAGTCGCAATAAATGTACCAAATTTCAGATTTGGCAAGATTTTGGAAGGAGGAGCGGAAGGAATGCGCAATTTATATTTCTAGTTCCAGAGACAACAGAAGGTCGAACCAAAGGATTATGCGCAACCCAAAGAAGATGATGTCAATATATTATAAGAAGTACGCAGTTAAAATACCCTCACATTTGAGGAGCTTATGCTTTCATAAAAAAAAACGATCAGAAATAATTTCCATTTGTGAAATATGACACTCTCGTTTTTATTCAACGGATTCCTTGATCTTAATAATTGGAAAGTAATAAGTTTTTTGACTTGCAAAATTTCTAAAGAAAATTTTCTCATAACATTTTAATTTGATTCTCCTGAATCCGTCATAAATAAAGGTAGTTATCACAAAAGCACTCGTTATCCAAACACTTTTCACTTCATTTCGAAGGGTATTACTCGCCTAGTTCTCAAAATCCTTAGTATTGGGGTGTTCCCTGTTTGAATTTTTTGGGGTTGGCGAGGCATATTTTCGTATATCGAGGAACAACAAAGGATACGGATAAGGGATCGTTTGTGCGGCTCAAGGACAACGGCATCGAGTTCCAGTGCATGCCAGGACATGCCGGGGAAAGTAGAGAGCCACACAATGGGCGGCGGAATTATGAAATAATAATCAAGTAGGGCATAATCATAATGCCGTAACCTTGATGCGAAGGTAAACAATAATTAAGCCCGGCCGAGGGGATCTTCTATGAAAAAAATAGGCTCGTCGGGGGAATGGATGGGTATCCTGGATGGGATCGCAATCACAATCGCACACGTGTTGCTTCCACCCGGACAGAGCTAATCTGTAGCAGCATTCAGGACGCCTCGTTTCGGTTCTGGATGGGATATTCGAAATCAAGAATTAGCGGCAGCTGCTCCGACTTCTTCGTCCTCTTCTCCAACTTCGTCCTTACTCGATTTCCCTGCGACTTGACTTGAGGAGCAGCTGCAGAGGCGAACGTTAAGCACACGTGCCAAGGTGAGTCAGCAGGAGCAGGATCGCCAGAAGGATCGCCGGCAGGATCCGGGTCGAAATCGGACCAGAGGGACCCAAAACAGGAGTAGCAGCACATTAAGCAGCGAGGCTATTATCCTGCTAACCGCAACCATGTTTAAAGTTAACCCCTTGAAAGTTTGGGTTAAGAATTTAAGGAAACCCTTGATGAACTCAAAACCGATATGATACAATCTTGAGATATGTATGTTATTTACAAAATATTTGTTAGGTAAGTAGGCAATACTTAAAAACACCTTTACATTTCTTTTTTTAAAGGTTTGAAATAGGAATTTATAGGTTTCTCTTTTGGGTCGAAAGGAACTTCATTGTCCTCTGTATCCTCAATGGGTTAATTGTGTAACCCGGCCGAGGATGGTTAATTCGAAGGAGCAGCTGCTGTTGTTGCGTGAGTCGATCACGACATTTATCTGTTCGGCGGCTGTTTTGTTTCCTTGCCATCTTGCCAGGACAATTGGCAACCAGTTTGCGCCCTAAGCTTGCGAGTCCTTTGTCCTCGCAAGAAAGCTGCCAGGGAACCAGATCAGATCCCAGCCGAGACCCAACAACAGATGTTTTATTCTCGCGTTAAGGAACGTGTTTCCAAACATGATTTATGGCTCGGCCGCTCCGCGTTAGAGAGTGGATTGGCATCCTACGGAAAGAGACGGCCATCTTCGGTCCGAAAGAGAGGGCCTCATCATTGTTCCCATTGACCAGCTGCCAGGGCGGCGTCTTGGTCTTCCAGAGGGCCTCCGCCTCGCAGAACATGCCACCAGAACCGGTCCAAAGACGATCCCATCTTTCCAGCTTTGTGTCGTTTTTATGGCGTGTTATGATTTCGTATTACAATTAGCCGGCACAAAAGGCACACGGCTGCCTATTTCTGGGTTGTCAATTGTTTGCATTCTATAAAACCGAAGGCCCCATAAATTCACAAACCATGGCAGCGCATTAAAACTGTCAAAATTGTGCAGTTAAGTAGACATTGGATTGGTTTGGGTGCCGAATGACTACTTCATTAGATTGGCTCCCGAAGTGATTTAATAAAAAGGCAAAGGCAGAGTTTATTCGAATATCGAAGTTTTTGTCTCATCATGGTATCATATATTTATGCAAACTTGTTTGGATTGATTAATTATTTAATTACATAGCTATAATATTTATTAATTAATTGCCTGAAGTGAGTCACATTTTTCCGAGTGCACCTCAGTCTCGATCAGTTTAGAGTTGGACAGGGGCACACACCTCCGGCAGCACTTTAGACAAATAACTTAAACACCTATCGACAGGAGAAGCAGCAGGAGCAGCCATGCTGGCATGCCTCCAAACTAGACGCATTTCCAATTAGTTTTAAATCACAACTAATTGAATTCATTTCGGAGACTGCGCTGCATCGCGATCGGGATCGCCATCTAACCAATCTTATCTTAACAGTTATGATGTCGGTATGGCGGCCGCCTGTTTTGGCATTCTTAGCCAAAATTTATTGACAAAATTTGCAACACAGATTGCCGTCTCCAGGGCGAAGGGAGGCCAAAACCAGGTGAGTCGCACGAGGCGGAAGCTGCATGACCAGTAGCCCAGAAGGCAGAACCGTCGCTGTCTAACGCTGGCTAACACTCAGATAAATATAATGCAGTCTTCAGCACTCATTTTAAGATGTTGATACAACTAATTTTAAAATTGTTTTAAAATTTCATTAGTTTGATAAAAAAAAAGACTTTGCTGTTTAAAACTGAACCGCTTTTGTTAAGAGTTTCATTTTACGTTATGATTTTTGCATTATTTTTTTGAGTGTTGAGGATGGGTTGGAAGACCCACCTTCTGCCAGAAGCGCTGCCGGCATATGTGAAATCTATGGTCGTGATGGCTGGCTGGCTACCTGCCTGCAAATTCATAATAAATGGAGCACACTCCACGTTGGCGGCGCATGCAAAAAAGATCGGGCAGATCGGGCGAAAGGCAGCGATTGTTCAGAGATTGCTGGGACAAGTGGCGCTGCCTTAAAATCGCTGTAAAGCAACGGCTAAAAATGGGAATCAGGAAGTTTACATGCACTTTCTTTTTGGTGTTTCCTTTTCCTTTTTGAAAGTCCAACTGTTGCCGCGCATTTGCCTCGCAAAAGCTGATTGTTACAAAACTATTGATCGATAGCAGGGAGGTAAGAAAAGATAGAATGGTTTTAAATAATAACAACAGACTAATAATAACTATTAAAATTATAACTTTAGTTATCTTTCTATTTTATCTATATAATATAAGTTAGTAAAGCGTATTATATAATTCAAATCCTACAGCTATTCGCGCTTCGCAAACAGCTGTTATTGATAAGTGAACTCACGAGTTGGCAGCTCTCTTTGTGAATTTCTGCCTATCGCCTATCGCTCTGCTGGCTCGGAGCGTAACAAATTAAAATCAATTGAATCCAATCAAAGCACCCAATATAGAAGCTATAAGCACAGTTCTGGTCAGCAGAGGATCTTCCCGATAACAACGCAGATAAGATAAGCCCCTCAAACTCCCCCGACAGTTGAAAAAGGTGATAAAAAGAGCGGCAAGAGACCGGTGTCAATAATCGATTAGTTGCCATTTGCTAATTGGTGTTCTTTTGTTTATTCATTTCAGCCGGCAGAATGTGGCGACAACTCGGCGGTGTCGCACGAACGGGAAGCAACTTGAACTTCTGCAGGATGCGAGGACTTTCGGCTTTGGTCCAGGATAAGGCCTTGGTGGATGGAGCGTGGGTGGATTCGAGCAACTCCAAGGCAACTTTTGAGGTCCGGAATCCTGCGAATGGAGAGGTTATTGGAAAAGTTCCCAACATGACAGTGACCGATGCCCAAAAAGCCATAGATGCAGCCAAGAATGCATACGAATCCAAGGAGTGGCGGTCCCTGACGGCCAAAGATCGATCCAATCTGCTCAAGGTGAGTTTGGGGATTGATTCTTATCAGAAGAGCTAAGTCTCTCTTCACACATTATAAGCAAACATGTTTGAGAGCAGACTTTTATAATAACATTTAGCATGAAGTACTTAAAAGGTATATTTTTTAGTATGCGTATTATAACTGGAGTTTCCAGTTCTTTTGATAACCAGTCTTAAACATAAAAAAATTTTAATGTGAAGAAGAATTAAAGCCTTTAAGCCTCTAGTATGTGTCTCTTATATCCGTCAAGTATTTGGTTATAAGATGGAGAAGTTCGTCTGTAGGTCATTGTCATAATTTCTCTGGTTGGAAACTATCTGATAATCTTATCTCGTTTTGCAGAAATGGCACAAACTGATAGATCAGCACTCGCAAGAGATAGCTGAGATTATGACGGCGGAATCGGGCAAGCCGATAAACGAATCCAAGGGGGAGGTGGCCTACGGAAACGCATTTGTGGAGTGGTTCGCGGAGGAGGCCCGTCGCATCTACGGTGAGATTGTGCCCAGTGCTCAGCCCAACCGGGAGATCATTGTGATGAAGCAGCCCATCGGAGTGGCGGCCTTGATCACTCCCTGGAACTTTCCGATGGCAATGATCACACGAAAAGCAGGTGCAGCCTTGGCCGCAGGATGCACGGTGGTGGTGAAGCCCTCGGAAGATACTCCTCTCACAGCACTGGCCGTGGCTAAACTGGCAGTGGATGCAGGCATCCCAAAGGGAGTAATTAATGTGGTGACCACCAACCAAGCAGCTCCCATTGGTGATCTATTCTGCAAGAGTCCCGATGTGAGAGGCATTTCCTTCACAGGCTCCACAGAAGTGGGCAAGCTGCTGTTCCGCAACTCTGCTGATGGTATCAAGAGGATCTGCCTCGAGCTGGGCGGCAATGCTCCCTTCATTGTCTTCGATTCGGCCGACATCGATAAGGCGGTGGATGGAGCCATGGCTTCCAAGTTCAGGAACTGCGGACAGACCTGTGTTTCTGCCAACAGATTCTTCGTCCAGGATGGCGTCTACGATAAGTTCGTGGAGCGATTGAAGAAGCGCGTAGAGGCCTTAAAGATCGGCGACGGCCAGGGATGCGATGTGCAAATTGGACCACTGATCAACGAAATGCAGTTCAAGAAAGTCAGTGGTTTTGTGGAGGATGCGAGGTCTAAAAAGGCGAATATTCTGCTGGGAGGAAAACCGCTGAGCGACAAAGGCTCCCTTTTCTACGCACCCACAATTGTCGCAGATGTTCCACCTTCCGCTCAACTCTACACAGAGGAAGTCTTTGGCCCCGTAGTTTCTATCATCCGTTTCCGGGATGAGGAGGAGGCTGTTAAGAAGGCCAACGACACCAGGAGAGGACTGGCCGGCTACTTCTACAGCGAGAACCTGCAGCAGGTGTTCCGGGTGGCCAAGCGATTGGAGGTTGGCATGGTCGGAGTGAACGAGGGCATCATTTCCGCCGCCGAGGCTCCATTCGGCGGAGTCAAGGAGTCGGGAGTCGGACGGGAGGGCTCCAAGCACGGCATCGATGATTATGTGGATATCAAGTACATTTGCATGGGCAACCTTAAGTACGATTGAGGTTCAACGGATCAGTCACTTCCGCTGCTTTCATATGCTGTCTTCCATTAGAATGCGATTTGTTGAATGTTTCATAGTTAATTTATAAATCCACGCCGCTATTTTAATAAATGTGCACAAAATCGATGCTTAGTTTTCAATTATATTTCTTATTTACAATTCCAAAATACAATCTTCAAATATCCCTTTGTTTAAAATAACCGCCCTGAACGTGTCGATAGCTTGGTTCGATAAAGTACCAACCAGAAGTTCAGGCAGCATTTTTCCGCCAACACGCAACGGTCACACTATTGCCATCCCCACAGCTGTGCGAGAGAGACAGAGACACAATTACAATAGCCGCAATGCCGATGTCCGACAAAATTGTAAGTAAATTGTTGATAACAAATTGAAAAGAGCCATGGAAGTGCTTACAACTGAGACCAAGCAATTGTTTAGGGAGTGCAATACGATTCGGCAAGTGTTCGCTTAACGTAGCCCCGAAAATGCCGGCAAACAAAGTCGGTTTACCCAGTTCGATGGCGTTTGTTGTTGTTGCCCCTTATGAGGCAAATATAATTAAAAGTGCATAAGTCCATAAAAAGTGCAGGTGAAAATGTGTGTGACATCTATTTGGATGCACTTTGCGGAAGTGTAAAACCTCCCCAAGTCCTTTGATGCGGCGAAAAATTGCAGGCGGTGAAATGAAATGACACCATGACTTGTAGATTTTCGAGTGAACGAGTGCAGTCTAGGCGAAAAAATGGTCTTTGGGAATTTAGGGGGCCTTGAAGACCCCTTCATAAAACCAAAATAAATTATTAAAAATGAATGGAACTGCAGCCGCTTAGGGCATTATTTATGTGTTGCACTTGACCAATTTGGATATAAAGACGTGTCTGACCAATAAGACAATTTATATTTTGAGGGTGGTGCACTCAGAGAAATTTCTTTAGTTTTTGGATGGATAATAAAATATTTAAAATGTGAAATAGTAAACTACTAAATTATTCTTATTTTCATTTTTTTTTTGTGGTAAAGAGTAACGCATAAACTCCAGGTAGAATGTATAGTCTTTTTTTTTAAGTGCATCTAAATCTCTTTTAACTATGCACTCATTTGGCAACGAATTGCAATTGTTTTTAATGCGATGCCAACAAATTTTCACAGTCAAGTTCGCGCCTTCATGACGTACAGTCCGAATCACTAAGAAAAAGCCTTTCAGGCTTTGGTAGCTTCATAGCTACACTTGACAACCCCCCACCCAAGCCACCCACTACCCTCTGCACACCCCACTTAACCGCCCACCCAGTGACCTGCCCGGAAAATCAAGAAAATGGCCTGTGCACCACTGCTGCTCGAGCAATTCATCTACAAGAAGCGCAATTTCGCTTACGCCTTTGTGCGCCATCGTCTGTTTGTGTTATGCAAACAATCGGTTGGACCAACAATTCAATTATCCACTGACCAATAACTAATTTACACTATTTCTCGATTATTAATTCCAGCTAATTCGCGTTCAGTCGGCGGAGGGCATCAAACGCATTGAGATCTCGCCCAAGTCAAATCTGAAGCATCTCTACGACAGCGTTCAAAATGCCTTGAAGGTAGATGGATTCGGGCTCTTCAAGGAACGCAACTTCCTCACAGAGCTGCAGGCCAGTGGGAGCCAGCTGGTGGGAACTTCCTTGAAGCATGGTGATATGGTCTACTTAAAGCAGATTGCCGGCACATCGTCACGCGTAAGTTGGTTTTTCAGAAAGGATTGATAACTTACTAACTGCCACTTGTTTACAGCGCGCTAGCACCACAGTCTTGGACACTCAGCCGTTTAAAACCAGCAGTAACAGCAATCCAAGCAGCGCACGTCCATCCATCAACGTGGTCGAAGATGACGTGGACTTAGCTCTGAGCAAGGCAGATGGCACCATCAAGCGCGAACGCGATACCAAGCTGTATGAAATCATTTTCGACTGTTATATCTATAGTTTATTAATCAAGTATGATCTCTTTCAGCTGCCATCACAATGCCAATGGTCGTTGCGTCCACTGCTCCGCCCTGGAGCCCTACGACGAATCCTATCTGAAGGAGCAGAACATCAAGCACTTGTCCTTCCACTCGTACATACGCAAGCAGACCTCTGGCATGGACCAGGGCAAGTACTTTGTCTTCGACGACATCAATTGCCGCATCAAGCCAGGCTGCCGCGAGCATCCGCCATGGCCCAAGGGCATCTGCTCCAAGTGCCAGCCGTCGGCCATAACGCTGAACCGCCAGACATATCGCCACGTGGACAACGTTATGTTTGAGAACACCAAGATTGTGGAGCGGTTCCTTAACTACTGGCGCACCACCGGCCACCAGCGTATGGGATATTTGTACGGGACGTACGAGCAGCACACCGATGTGCCGCTGGGCATTCGGGCCAAGGTGGCTGCCATCTACGAGCCGCCGCAGGAGTCAACTCGGGACTCGATTAACATCCAGCCGGACGAGGGTGCTGATGATGTGGATGCTGTGGCAACTGCGCTAGGATTGAAGAAGGTGAGCCATTACCATTTGTTTTTAAATTTGTGAAATCTTTAATAATGGTAATTCCACAGATTGGTTGGATTTTCACTGATCTCATCACGGAGGATGCGACTGTGGGCACCGTCAAACAGATCCGCGGCATCGAGTCGCACTTCATCACGGCACAGGAGTGCATCACAGCCGGCGAGCTGCAGAACCGCCACCCAAATCCGTGTAAATATGCCTCCAACGGCGTCTTTGGCTCAAAGTTCGTGACTATTTGTGTGACGGGTAAGATTGAGTTAAACTCCTTTCTGTGTATTTATTAAAACGTATTTAATTGTAAATTGCAGGAGATAAAACCAAACAAGTTCACATGGAAGGCTACGCAGTTTCGGCTCAGTGCATGGCTCTCGTGCGAGATAATTGTCTGCTGCCCACTAAGGATGCGCCCGAGCTGGGCTACGTGCGGGAGTCCACGGACAAGCAGTATGTTCCCGATGTCTTCTATAAGGTAAGTTCTTACATTCACTTCCGTTTTGACGACAGCAATTCCCCCTTCAAAGTAAAAACACAATTGCGGGCAACCTTTATTGAATTACTTTCACATTTACGCAGAAAACGTGCATATTTAGACATCAATTAAAATTTGGGTTTTAATCGGTACCAATAATTAAATAACATACATGTAACATCGAGAGGATTACATTATGTTCTGTTACTTTCTTCAAGGTTCCTTTCTTTTCCTAGGTTTGTACTTGTCATCATTGCTCTGGGATTTCCATCAGTATTTCATTTCATTTATCGTATACCTAGGACAGACATGCGTAGTTTATTTTCCGACATTTTATTTGATTAATTTTATTCCACATTTATTTGAGTAATTAACTTATAGCCCTTTGAGCAATTGCCAGCCGATCACAATATTCCAGATTTTGCCCATTTTGTTTTTTGAATATCAAATCTAAAATATTTTTGTTTTATACTAATCGTTTCGCTTTTTTCTATCTAATGCGTTATAATTGGAGATGTTGGGATATTGTTCGAATTTATTTACAACTTAAAACATATATTAAATTATAATAATTTTCGTGTCGTTCAGAAAGATAATTTTTCATTTTACTTGTAATTTAAAAAATATTTTATACTTTCGATACTTTAATTAAAATCTAAAACTTCGACTTATGACCTACTGTTTTTTTTTTTTACTAACTTTTTGATTCCCATTATATACGGATGGCTATTCTTGGCATTCCTTTATTAAATCACAAACAGAGCTTCTATTATGGTCACACAAAATGCATATGTAGACATCGAAAAACTATCTCTCGAGGATAATTTTGGCTAACATGTACTATATAGTATACTTTGTATTGATAATTGAATTGACTAGGTCTATTTATCAGCCGCTTATTCTGATTTCACCTATTTCTTGGTTTAAATGACACGAGCTTATGAAGATTTTTATTTCAAACCTTTGCGTTATGTTATATATTTTTTTGTCAACCTTATTTTATTTTATTGTAGCTAATTTTCTATATCCAGGTAACGTGGTAGCGCTTCAACACCAATTATTTGGTGCTGTTGAATCCTTAACATTACGTATTCAATCTATCAAGGATTGATAAAAAATCCACCTTGCCCATGATTTTGAGTTATTTAAAGAACATTGATAAAGTCAGTAGATTTTGTTGTATTTTAAATAGCCTCCAAAACTTTTGATTTGTAAACTGTTTATAAAAACTCGATAAGACTGTTTAAAAAACTGGTTTGCTGGCTCTCACTATTTGCGTTGAGCTTAAAAAAAATTGAGAGCCATTTTTGACGGTCGAGTGGGCCTTTTAATTGTACAAAATTCGTACCAAGATTAGTAGCTTAGCGTTGTATACCAAGAAGAATATAGATATCGGAGACGGTTGAACATTCAAAGTACGTAGGAGATTCGTTCACTAGGGTTCGTTGAATTTCGAAGAGGAGTCGGTCGGTCGGTTGGTTGGTTGGTTGGTTAATTGGTTGGTCGGGTTTTATCGCTTCGAGTGGTACTCGCCACAGTTCCAGATGACGCTCCTCAGCGCCGGTCGCCCCAGCGCATTGCCACTGGCTGCGATGCGGTCGACCAGCTCGATGCCCTGCACGATGAACCCGAAGATGGCCGTGAAGGAGCGCATCTCGTTGAGCACCAGCCGGAACTGGCTGCCCACGAAGCCGCTCTTGTCCTGTCGCCGCTGACCCCTTCGCATGCCAACCGTTCCCCGATGCGCCTGCAGTCCCGTCTCGTCCGGCAGGAAGTACCGGTTCTCGAAGGACGAGTGCCCGCCCCGGCCGTTCTGCGACTCGAAGTCGCCGCTGATGATGCTCTCGCCTCCCCAGGCCTGGAAGACGGCGCATCCCCGGTAGCCGTAGCCACGATCGTGCCGCACCAGCGCCCTAAAGTTCTCGGCCATCCGGGGAGCGGCATCCGATCGCACGGCGATTAGTACCCGTCCGGCCAGTTCCCCTGCTATTTCCATGTCCAGAAAATAGATCGGATAACAGTGTGCGGAGGGCTGGCGGACAATGCTTACCGGAGAACTGGAGCCGCCGTCCCGATAGAGCTCCTGGCTTGGCTGGTTCATCATCTGCTGGTGCTGCTGCTGCGGCTGCTGATGTTGCTGCTGCTGCTGCTGCTGCTGCTGCTGCTGCTGCCATTGATCCCCCCAGTTGTCCCAGGAGTTCTCCGGCTGAAACATTGGCTGGAATACTGGCTCATGCGGGTGATCCTGTTGCTGATGATGATCCTGTTGCTGCTGCTGCTGCGCTTGCAGCACTTGCTGCATCCTCTGTCGCTGCTGCTCCAAGTGGCCCTGCCACAGCATTTCTCGCAGGTGTTGCACCACTCGCTGCTGCTCGCTGTCCAGGTTGTAGGGGTCGTTGATTTGCGGGAACGAGAAGCTGCTCTGGCTGTTGTTGCTGCTGCTCGGCGAGAAGGACGAGCCGGGGGATCCCTCCTCCGTTCCGGATCCTTGCGGGGTGGAGTAGTTCTGCTGATATCGGCGCAGCTCCCGCTCCTGATCCAGTTCCACCTGGTACATGTGCTGCCTGACCTCCGCCTCCCGCTGGCGGTGGTTGAAGTGCGGCGGCACCACCGCCCGACGTGGTTGCGGCAGCAACTCGGGCTCCGGCGGCGGCGTCCTGGAGCGCTGCGGAACCAGCTGGCGCTGCACCTCGTTCCAGTAGGCGAACACGCAGTAGTTGGTCAGCATGAGCGCGTGCGGTGGCTCCACATTGGCGGGAATCCCGCCGGGACGCGGCTGGCTGCGCAGCCGGAGGATCCGGTTGTTCAGCTGCTCGAAGTCCAGGATCTGCATGCCGTTCTCCTGGACTGCGGCGCGCAGTCGGCACTGGAAGTGCACCTCCACCAGCTGCTGCTCAAACTTTCGCCGCTGGTTGGCCAGCTGGCTGAGCAGGTGCAGCATGTCGGCGCCCGAGAGATTTAACAGGGATCGGTTCAGATCCTGCTCGGCGCGCCGGTGCCAGCCCGTCATCGTGGCGGCGATCATGCTGGGATGGTGCTCCAGGATCAGGCGCTTCACGTGCAACTGCACGTGGAAGCAGGCCTCGCACAGCTGGCGCAGCAACTCCATCTCGCGGGTGGACAGCTCGGAGGCGTGGCTGGCCGTGTGCTTGATCTTCGCCAGCTCCGAGCTGAGCAGCTGGCGCAGCAGCTCGTGGTAATCCAGCTGGCGGGTGAGGCGGTGTTCCCGATGCAGTGGCTCGTCCGAGCAGGCGCGGCACATCAATCGCTGGCAGTTGTGGCACCACGTGGAGTTCGGCATCGCGTGGACGAAGCAGTGCTCCGAGCTGCTGGCCAGAAAGCTCTCGACACAGACCACGTTCGACCAGTTGTCCGAGTGGAACTCTGGCTCCTCACCGGAAACCTCCACGTTGCTGATCTTTCCCTCCGAGAAGTCCAACATGGCCTTGCCCAAAACCAAAGCGCGCAACTCGCGAAGAAGATACACAATGGCCTTGGATTCCGGCAGACTCTGGCCAAGTAACTGGGTGCGAACTCCGCACAGGGGGCAGATGCAGTCCGAGGAATCCAGGTCGGTGCTAATGGCCACACACTCTCCGCAAAAAGTGTGCTGACAGACGAGCTCCTTGGGCAGCAGCTTGCCACCGGCCAGGTCGTAAAGGCGATGGCACAGGCCGCAGCTCAGCAGCGACTCCAGCTCCTTTGGCACCTTGATGGAGTCCATTTTCCTCGGCACTAAAATGTAGAAAAGTCGACCTAAATTATTTTGTTTTTAGGGAAAACCTTTCCTTAGGTGTTGCTACGATTATAAAGGTACGAATGTGTTTGGCAATGTGGTGGATCTGACACGTTTCAAACAGTTTTCCCGGACTACTTTGATTATGTTCCAAGATTAAGAACCCCTTGGTAAATGTAAGGTTTCTATTAAATATTATATTTATTGAGGCAGCTAGGCAGAACAAATAACCATTCCGGTTTAATTTGCTGACTTACACAAATCATCAACAGATGTCTTCAACTTGTTTTGCACTTTACTTGAGCCTCTTATGAGCAATAAGTAAACAACGCATGCAAACAAAATTGAAAAGTTTTTGTTTCAACAATATTTTCATTAAAAATACCTTTAGATCTACTTTGTTTAAAGCTCAAACAGACGAAGTGAAGACTTAAAATTATTTGATGTTATTGGGATGTCCCATTATTAGGTAATCTTTTCGTGGATTTTCTTCCTGTATTCCCCCCCTTGAAACTTCATTTTTAATCCACAAAAAGTTTATAAATTTTAAAATTGATTATTCTTTGGGTTGATTGTGATTAGCCTTCCACCCACGCTTCCTAAAAAATCCCAGAGCGAAGCCCATTTCTTGGTCGGTCAAAGGTCTGTGGCCTAATTCTTTGAGTGACCCCTCGAAAAGTTTTCGCCGTGTGGCAGTTATTGGGAATTTGTTTTAAGCTGTGTAATCAAACTTTGTTTGGCATGGGGCATTCCAGAGTAGGAACCGCAACTTAATGTCTAACAAGCCGTTCGGGGAGTCGAGAAATTGGGGTCATGGCAACGAGGAAAATCTGGTCAAAGGAAATAGCATCGCACTCGGACTAAATGTTGACCAAAGCTAAAACTTTGCGGATAATCAACATGCGTGTTTTGTTTGTTTTGGTTACTTGGCTCTCTTTTTCACAGCTTGCCTGCTTTGAAGCCCGCAAAACAAATTAATTAATATTCAAAGGAAGTAATTGCGACTGCTGTTCAAACCGATTGTGGGTGATTTAGTGGCCTCATTAAGGATTTCAATTGAGTCCATCTACCAATCTTTTGCTTTGACCTGCCATAAGTTTGGCGATTAAATTGTAAGGCCTTTTCAAGCAACCCATAAACTACTTAGATTTCGTGTCATAAAATCATGCATGTCATATTTTTTCATTTTAAAGTGAGTACAAAACTTCGGATCGAAATTGCTCTCCATTTGTCCGGCAAACAAACAAAAAGCGGCCGGCAAACACTGTTGAAAAATGGGCACTTAAGTGACCTTCCAAGTGTGTTTCCCCTGTTTGTCGTGGCATTATAATTCACCTGCCGAAAGCAAACGTTACGCCTCTTTCCTCCGACTCGGATTATATTTTCTTCCGTGCCATTGGACAGCGAGAACCACGTTTCTGGCATTCCTTACGCTTATTTTGTTTTCTATTTATTATTCGCCCTTTGTTCCATGTTGGCCGTTTGCTTTCCATTCACTCAGCTTCCCCTTTTTCTCTGCAATTATGCAAATGCTTTAAGCTGTCTGCGAATTCAGCTGGCTCCGACAATTACTTCAGGGGAGTTTCCTTTGCATGCGGCATAAAAACATTGCCTACTTTCCAGAGTCTTCTTCGGAGTCTCGCGTTTTTTCGCACTTTTTGCCACCGAAGCAAATGTGTAAATTGAGAAAATAAATTCCTTTGGCTGTCGTTCTCGCCCTGACATAAATTCGTATTTATGGGACTTTTTTTGTCTACCAGCAAAGTTGTGTTTAGAATAAAAACGTACAAAATGGGCGCGAATTCGTTTTGGTAATTGCTTACACGCCTGGAAATTAAGTTGACAATTTGACGCACAATGGACCACGCTCTATTCATGACAATTGTCGGTGATCCAGTTGTACGTTTTGGCACAGGGGAAAAGCCAGTTGAAGACAGGCCAAGACAATGACAGATTTTCCCTGTCTGACAAATTAAACGCCCGATGGCTGTCAGTATTATTAGGGCTTAACTCACATTTAGCCACGTTTACACGTTGACACCAAAAAGCCAAAAGTCGACACCTACAATGACCCAATTGTGGAAATGTAAGCAGAGTTAATTAAGTACAATTAACATAAGGATAAAGGGTGCAAATTTTCATTTGACCTTTTTAACTTTTCACGTGGGTTTTGGCATTTTGTACACCTTTTGGTAAAATAAATCTGTTTTTAACCTTTACCACCTCGCATTTTACTTGTTTAAAGTTGTTACGCTGAAATGTTTTTGATTGTCAGACTATGCCATACATTTTTAACAGGCCTGTTGCACATTTTGTCCGATATAAAATGTATTTTCGTGCCTGCTTACTTAAATATATAACACATGCCGAAGCCTTTCGCTTAGCACATGCAATTCCCAAACGAAATCAAAAGTTTTCCGCACCAGATAAATCACCTGGCTTATAACTTATGTACGCAGTGGCAGTCTGACAATTTGTTCGGTTAAGTGAATCCCCCTTATTTTAATTGCCAGATTAGCAGAAAAGCTGTTTATATTACGCTTGTATGATTTTTTCAATACTAGTTGACCTTCGGTATAATTCTGTGAAAAGCCGTGGAATTGCATATGCTTAGCTCTTCAACGTAATTGTCCCACTGAATTATTCACAATTTTCCTGTGGCTCCCAGGAACGCAAGCGTTTCGTCATTGTCTACTTAGTCATTTTTTTGCCGAACTGCGTCAGCGAATTGAGGCCAGGCATTTGGCTTAAAATCATAAAAAGTGGCGAAAGCGAAGGCAAATCTGCAAATCGATAAGCAATTTGTGGCCTCGTTTGCTTCACTTTGGCCCACTTCCTTCTCCTTGGACTCATTGTCAGTGCCATTGGACTGGGCCAGCCTACGTTTTTATGCCGGGCAATAAAAATTTATTACTGGCTTGGGTGTCACCTTCGATGGCCAGTAGGTCTCTATTCCTGGCCGGACTGTGCAGCCAACTCCCCTTTGCTAATTGCCATAAACAGACTTGGGCCGGGAAAATAATTGGTTCCCCCATTTTAATGGCAGTGCAAACGTGCTGAGAATTTCCCAGCCATATGGTCAAGTGTGCAATTCATATTTGCAAGGATGTGTCAAAGGATTTCGAGGCTTTGCGGGAGGAGAGCTCTGCGGTTGATAGACTTTATTTGAGTAACAGCCTGTCGCAGTTAATTGGATCTGTAACTTCTGTGGAACTTGCTCAAAGTGAAAAGAGAAAACATGAAGCTATGACAGATAAATTAATATTCCCTTACAAACTTGTAAAAGAAGTTCAAGTTCGTAGCCATCAGAAATGAGATGTGTAGTTTAATAGTGCCAGTTTTTAAGTTTCATGTGAGGGTAGCGAGTTAAGCTGACAAATAATTAGCATACTTTTGCGGAAAATCGACCTTTTTTGATTGATGGGCCTTGGCCCGGCGGCCAAAAGCTTTCCTGCCAGACTTCAATCATGCAAATTAACCTTCAGCATGTCAAATCATAGGCTAATCAAAGCAGAACTTTGATGGATTCGAAATGGAATGTAGCAAATCTGTGACGAATAAGTGCGGCTGAAGGTCTGCATCCGTTGAGATAGGATAACGAATGTACTGATTAAACACATCTGAGCAAAAGACACATGTTGCTGCTTGGGGTGAAGTTATGGATTGGGAACTAAAGCACAGAAACTTTGATTGCTGTTCTGTAAAATCAAATAATATATTTGCCTCAAGGGAAATTGAATGTTCATCATTTAGTTTTTAGTAGATATTTTATTATGCTGCAAGTAAAGTTGTTTTGTTTTATAAACACTTAAGTCTTACCTTAAAAAGTGTGGTTTATTCCTTAAAATTTGATGTCATTAAAATTACTTTATGTGAATATATCTCACTACGAAATTCTCAGGAACTTGATTGTTTTCAATTGTTATTGTTGTACCTTAGGTTTGAATGCGTTTCATAGTTGCTACATTGAAAATGCTTCAAAAAATATTTACTTTCGGTTTTTATTGTTCTGTCATTTGTACACTCGCACTTGGGATTTCCCTACTTTTGGGTGCACTTGCAGGAGGTGAAAGCTTTGAAGATTTTACTTTCACTCTTCGGACTGATTTTCTTCTTGATGTTCGCTGTCTGCAGCTTGTTCTTTTGCCCCACCACCTGCGCTGGCTCCTCAATTGGCTGCACTTCCTGCTGGGATGAATCCCCCTCGTGCTGTTGCATTTGTAGTTGCTGCTGTTGCTGTTGCTGCTGCTGCTGCTGCTGCTGCTGCTCGTGTTGCTCGTACTCGTGTTGCTGCTGTATCTGTTGCTGGTGCTGCTGCAGTAGCTGTTGCTGTTGCAGGCGCGACTTGAATGCTGCATTGCTAAGCTGCCAGCTGCTCGAGGAGGCTCTCAGCGGCGCTGGCTTTGTGTGCTGCTGCTGGTAGTTTGGTGCCGCACTGGCCAATCCCGCCGAGCTCTCCGCGCTGTTGGACGAGAGTGTCGAGGAGGCTACCGCCGTCCAGAACATGGTTGCTCAGCTGTCTAACGATTCTACGCATCGGAAGCGACTCCTCCAGGCCAGGCATGATAGCCGAAAAAAAGGTGGATATGGATGTTTCCGGAAACACAAACAAATAAGCGAGGGAAACGCGTGCCGTTTGCCGTTCGACTTTAGCGCGACTCGAAGCTCGAGGCTCGTCCTGCCCCTTTCGCGATTCGTTGGCAAATGCAGCTTCGGCCAGCCAGGACGTGGCTTTTATACTGCTCGGAGAGAGCTTGCGGAGCTTTGGGTGTCCTGGCCACTGGCGCTCTTCTTCGATGGCTCCCAATGTCAATGTCAAGCTGTTTTTACTCTCGCTTAACGGCCTTTTTCTGCTCCACACGGCATGCAAACTGTTTACCCCTTTTTAGCTGCAGTTTTGCAAAATTGATTTCGCTGGTAGCCTACTGAAGTATTCCTTGAAATTGATAACACACACAGGGTAATTACATCTATGAAAAAGATTTACTGCGAATTTGACACACACATAAGTGTTGACTGGTATGGCATGTTTCTATGAACCAAAAGTGAGCATTATGAGTAGTAACTTATTGAAATTAAGGCACAATATTAGTAAAATTTCTTGCATATAAACTGACCTCTGACCAAAATATCCTTTTCTTGACGGAAAGCTTTCAAAACTTGACGTATTTGGCTGCAATGCAATTTAAACTACAAACTTAATTTCATCCGCTGCCTCTTTAATGGAAGCGGAAACTGGCATTAACTTGGCTATTAAAACATAAAAGTATCTACTGGGGGAAAGAGCTCTCGCCAATTTCCTGCTCAGCAGTTATAATGACGTTCAGTGGTTCCGTTTGACCAGCTTCTGCTCCACTGGGCGGTCCGCCTACTGCCTTTAATCGGGGTCCATCCGCTGGAGTGAGGGGCTAATTAACTTATGCATGTTCAGGTGATGTGTACTATTTCATTCCGATTGGATGCACCGCCATCGAGTTGGCATCGTTGACGTGCTGACGCCTCCGCGGCTGACACGCCCCCACTTTGCCGACCACCGACACGATGCCTGCTTAATTGCGTTTGTTGCGAAACTCGAAACAGTAATTATAAATCCAGAACAGGTGTGGTGTTTCCTGGGCCTAAATCCCAGCGTCCAGTGCTCTGGATTTTCCCTTATTAAAATGGTTACAACTTATGGCTGCAAGCGCTTGTGGCTTCTGTGCAATTTCATTTGCCCCAGAGTTGATTTAAATTCAAAATGATATTCCGACTCGCAGATGGTTGACTTTAGACTTTGCCTATGACATGAAGGCAACGCTTCAATTTCCTAGAAGAGGTCAAGGCAATAAGAGTCAAAAAAAAAAAAAAAGTTATAAAATAATTAAAAAAAGTTAATATGTTTGACCTCTTTGTCCCCTTGCTTACAAACCTTGAAATTTTCATTATGTTTGCATTAACCAAGTAAAAGGCAAGAATCCATCAAGCATAAAACTAATTACAATTATTATTTATTTAATTAACTTAACTAGGACCTTTTTCTTGATCATTGAAGCATCCGGAAATGCCAGGAACGAGGTCATCATTTCAGTAGCATATAGATAGAGTTATTCGCGAGGGTTTTTCTGTCTGAGTAAGAGCTTGATTTCTAGGACGTCTGCCTTGAGCCGCAGATTTGCTGAACCTGGGTGAATTGCAGTCTTTTTTAACCAGTTCCAAGACCAAATCCGAGTGCCGCCGGCCTTGGTGGGTGTGGGCAAGGTCACTGCCGAGCTAACAGGTTGCCCCCAGCGAGCTTTTGAGGGGAGAGAGTGGGGATGGGAGCGAGCTGGGAGGAAGGGAAGAGAGAGAGCAGGTCAGACGTCAGCAAACGTTTTTTTTACCCCCTTTCTTTCTGGCCCGAATCAGATGTAGGTCACTGGGCCAAGTCTAGCTGGGCTAATATTATTTAAAGCCTGAATAACCCACTTTCCCACTGCCTTTTTTCGCCAGGAAAAGGACCAGTACGGCAACGAGGTGCAGCGACTGGCTCGCCCCCTGCCCGTGGAGTACCTCCTGGTGGACGTGCCCGCATCGACTCCGCTGCAGCCGCAGTACACCTTCACCGAGTACGACAAGCGCCAGCCATTCCCCATCGAGAACCGATACATCGACGGCCACCTGCAGGACTTCAACGCACTCAGCTGCTACCTGTCCGCCTGGGGCGACGAGGAGTTCCTCGAGGCCATCTCCGACTTCCACCTGCTGGTCTACCTCTACAAGACGGACATGCTCCCGCTGCGCCAGGCCATGGCTCCGCTGCTGGAGGCGGTGCGCACCAAGAACCCCAACCAGGCGGCCCAGTTCAAGAGCCAGGAGGTGTGGAAGCTGCTCGAGACGCTCATCCAGGCCAGTTCCGGAGGAAGTGGGTGAGTTTCAGCCAAATATATTCCCTATCTCAGTATTATGGAAGGGGAATTCATCTCCTTGTTTTAAGAAAAGTCGTAAACCAGAAAGGAAGCTAGCTTTGCCGAGCAGAAGCTGATATTTTATCAATTTAGCATAAGCTCTACATTAATCATATGAGCAACAGTTCGGATTCCAGGATTAAATTAACCTACTTTCAACAAGGAAACATTTTTGTTTGCAATTGGAGTGCAGTGTTTAACCTGTGACATTTAATAAAGTCCGCTTTGTCATTTGTAAATTGACGTTAATTGATGTACAATACTATATGCTACTAGACTTGCATTTCATCTGCTTTCCAGTTTCAAAATAATTTGATTTCCGGAAGCTTTTATCTGGAAACAGAGGAAAGCTCTGGTTGCAGTTGAAATAATCAAATTTTAAAAGGATATTTTTGTTGCATCGTTAACGTGTATTGATGTGGCTGTAGGAAAAGAAGTCACTTTCTTTTTACAAAAGTGATTCCCTTTTGGATATCCTTGATATGATTTAAAGTGCTTCGAAATTGTATTTGGTTTGTTCTCCTTTCGTTGCAGTGGCACCACCAGCTATCCCAGTGGCGGGTCATCGGCAAGTGCCGGAGCCGCTGGACCGGAGGCGATGGACCTGGACGGCAACACCTGGACGTGCAGCCACTGCACCTTCATCAACCGCGGCGAGCTCACCTCCTGCGAGATCTGTTCGTTACCCAGATAAGGATCCCCGAGAAATGAATTCCACGATTTGCAGCCTAGATGAACCATTCGAAATTCCGGTGTAAAACAAACTAAAGATTCAATCATACTTACTTATAGCAGCAGCTGGAAGACATGGGTGTCCCTCACACACACGTACACATGCACACTTAGAGGCGCACGGACATACACAAACACACACACAAGCAGCGGTTCGTGCGAATGCCGCGCATTATCTCTATGTAATCCTTGTGTAAGAATTTTATAAAATAAAACAAAAAGAAGGAAGAAAAACTTAATTTATTTTTAAATAAATTTCAATTGTTGTGCATAAGCCTTTGTGGTTTTTATTTTCAAATTTATATAGTTTATTTTGGGGGAGTTGAATAAGCAGTTTTAACCAACAAATTAACCAAACATACAAAGTTACCTGGTTAAGGCCAAGTTTCCACCCCTTCAAGAAAAAGAATAAACTTTTCATAGTTAAGACCTTTATTAAAAAGTTACTAAAACATAAGTTTTTAATCAGTCCAAATAAAACTGATAGTCAATCCCGTAATTTTTGGACCAAACCCATTTAGAAGTACCAGGCGAACAGAATGCAATAGTAGGTGCCTATTCTTAAGATTTTCCAATTGAAAGAGAAAGAGAGAGAGCAGCACCATTTTGTATGAACCCCCATAAGTATGCTACAATTTTGATAGTTGTAGTTTATTTTACATAATTTAGTACATATATCTATTCCCTAGGCTTATGCTGTAAATTTTGGGACGATCCATGTCTTTTGAGTCTTAGATGCGAGTCTAGTCAATTAACTATTCTTAAATTTAGAATCCAACGCTGTATTCCCGTTCGCTGCCTAGGCTGAAAGAATAAAAAAAAGTTATCAAAATATAAGTTTCTAATCATTTTCTATCAGTCCGAATAACCTGATGGAACGAAAACCAAAAGGCAATTACTTTGTTTTGCCTTCCAAACTTTTAGTAAGCTTATGTAGTTTGAAAGAAAACTACGTCAACACATCTGGGCGCTAGGTATAAGTCTCAGCCAAAATTTCAGTTTATCACAACATTTACAACCAGTTCGGCATCGTTTCCAAAATTCGTAAAATTATTTGAGTCGGTTGGAAGATTCTTTACAAATGGCGCTTCGTCTTACGACTGCTTTCCTCCGAAAACGCGCTTCATTACTTTTTGTGCCGAAGGTAAGACCTACGCAATGATAAGATCCTTGATTGCATACTTATTGTTTTCCTTCCCCACTCGATCTTTAGTTGCAACAAGCACAGCCAACCCGCACCTTATTACTTAGGAGTAAGTGCAGCATACAGGAAAACTAAAACCCAAGGGCTTTTCGATCCAAGAAAACTTTTTTTGCAGGAAATCTAGTGCCGTTCTTAGATGATGATCCTTGTGTGTTCTCGAAGAAAGCCATCTTGCACCATTGGGGCGTAAGTAATTGAACGATGATCCTAAAAACCTCTAGCCAAAACTTACCATATATCCCCAATAACGTAAGGTTAAATATTGGATAAAAATCTATGGTCAGTACTTAAAAGAAGTGGCAAGAGGTGTCTATATACTTTTCTATATTTACGATAGGTGCCTCTAACAGACGTTTAGAGCAGTTCTAAGAATTTTACTTTATAGGTCTATAGAATAATCCGTTGGTTAATAGGTGCCAAAAGAAAAACAAATTCTTAGTTTGTGTGTATCGGTTATAAAAATAATTGAACAAAGGCCAATTTTACCAGACTAACTACGCGCAGGATTCTTAGATACAAAATAATAATGTGTGTTGGGTGTGAAATGCACGAAACTTAAGTTGGTTAAAACTACAGAGCAAATTATTTTATGTGAAACATTTATTGTGGTATATATGTATATAGTATATAATTAATTATATTAATACGCTGCAACATTTAAGATGAGTTTGGTTTGAGTTTCGTGTGGGTCAAACAGCAAATTTTACGCAAATTCAAGTTTACACAATACCAACTGATGTCTGTGTTTCTGTGTGAATGAGTGTGTTGTATGTACTACGCTCTAATCAAATCTATACGTTATCTATGAATACGTTATATAATATATAAGATTTAATAATATTGTATTTATGCTGCATAAGAAGCTAAGGGCAACCAACTTTCGAATCACCGTTTCGAAAACTTCGCAAACTCTAAAAACTTTTCGATGGTTTTGTATATAATTTTGTTTTGTTTGTTTGCAAATTAAAATATTTAATCTTTTTGGTTTTAACTGTATTTTCCATATCTACGCCCACACAACAACACAGTGTGCGTCAGTGCATCATTAAATTGGTTCATCTTTCAACTCGGCGCTTAGGGTTTAGTGTTAGCTTCTTGGGTTGTCATTACAATGTTGAAGATCGCGCTTATGGTAGCACATCTTTAAAATACAAATATATATATTTATATGTATCTATTACTTGAGTTTGCCTCAACATTAACACATCGGTATCAAAGTTATATATGTATGTATATATATTGCTTATATGTTGTCCTCGCTCCGACGAGTTACCTATAATATCTGACAGTTAATTGTTGAATCATATGATTTACTATACCTTTCGCTTAGAGGATAATCTCTAACAAACTTTGAGTTCACACAAAAAAGGGTATTGTCGCATAAGTATTCTCTTAAATAGACTTTTCTTTGTTTTGCTTGCTGAAAATTAATTTCAGTTAAGAATTCTCTGTATATTATAAATCATGCATAACCTTCTGTGTGTCTAAGCCTAAGACAAAGCAATTTAAAATATATATTTTTAAAGTAGAAATGTGTACCACATATAAGTTTATGTACAAATCAGAATGACAAAAAGAAAAAATGCTGCAAGTACTGCACTAAAAGCTTGAGTATTGTACACTAGAATTAAAGTATAAATTTATAATAAAAATCTATTAAAAAAAAAAACAATGAAATGTAAAAGAGTCTAATACAAATCCGGGTACAAACTTATAAAAATATAGATCAGAAACTACTTCGAATTAATTATGGCTTTGTATAATCAATAAGTCAATCGATTACCATTACTTTTACGATCAATGTTACTCGGTATCAAGTACGAAACTGAGAGTACGTTATAAGAGTACATTTTACAAAGTCTAATATGACGGTGGTTTCTAAGTCAACTATTAACTAACGAGTTCATATATTTAAGTACAGCTAAACTTACGCTAAGCATTAACATTACAATATGTTATACAGACATTTTCCAGGTTTTTGTGCATTATACAGGAAAAAATATTTTCGTGCAAACTACGTTCAAATTACATATTTAAAATTTGTTATTTTAGTTCCATTTTTGTGAAATCAAATACCAGGGTTCTATTTGCAAAATTTTCTTTCACATTTCATTTATTCATTTCAATTCAATTCAAAAAGGGTTTAGCCAAGAAGTTTTTCAATAGGAAAATTACACAAAGGGTTTTCACATTATATTTTTATCAGCAATTCGTTTGATTTTTCTCGGGTTGGATTTGGATTTAGGGATTTTTAGGCTAAAAGAGTAAATACCGTTTACATGTCCTTTGTATATATCGAAAGAATTATATATTGTTTTTCTGCATATATATGAGTGTCTAAACATCGCTACAAGTATAGAGCGAGAAGTAGAGCGACAGCAGTTACATGTTACAATTACAAGATACAGGGTGTTGTATATAATTTATTCGTTTCAATAAACAAATAATAACCACTTCGAAACAAACGTATATAAGGTTGGCCGTCTCAATAGATCTGCATACTTCTTGATCTATTGATATGTTTTCCAGCCCAAGCCAAACACAATTTAAAGGGTTTCATACTGGTTCGCTTAAGGCCTAAAAGTTATATCGTTAATATATATTTATATATGTGAAAACTTATGGCTAGCCTTCAAATTGTTTACCAAATCGTTCAATATAATGCACTTGCTTATCCTTTATATAGTTTGTTTTTTTCTTTGACCTTCATTCCAAGAAACAAATTTACAACAGTTAGTAAGAAGAGCTTTCCACCCGTCTGCGATTTTTTAGTGAGAGGTCTAAATAATCTTTTCCTTTGGGATCTTGATAAGAGGAGAACCTGAAATAAAATTCTCAAACAAGGCTCAGCTCGATTTTATCTTCAAAAGATTGATTTCGTTTAAAATTCCTCGTTGCAAAAATTGTACTGGTTGATTACGATTACATGTAACAAGTATAGCCAAAAGCTGAGCTCGTTCCGCCCCATTAAGTTGTTTCCAAATCATTGGGGCTTTAGACAAAACAACTGAATTCTATTTTCCCTAAATTTTATTTCTCCCGTTGTCACTATTGGTGTAAGAACTTTTTCATGTGAATTAGTTGCTGGAAGACGAGTCTAAGTTATGTTTTCGGTTAGGAAAGTCTTAGCAAGGCTTTTTGCTAAAATTTCGTTAGCGATTTTACTCACCTCAGTGTTTAATAATTACTTGTTTTATCTTTTAATTAGCCTTAAAAAATCCTCGTTTGTATCAATTGAACTTGGTGTTTAATTCGTTCGTTTCAATTTGCTTGCTCTTTCAAAATATAGCTCAGTATAATTGATATGTTACGAGCCAGTAAAAGTAATCATACTTCCTTGCAGTATAAGAAAAAATGTTCCTTATTTCAATATATATATTTTGTGTTTTCTGTGGTATATTTAATTTTTTTTCTTGCTTAACACTTAAATTAGGTTTAAATACGACTTCTGTTGTCTTTGATTTAGCATTTCTTTTCTTTTTTTTAAGCATCTGAAATGAGCAAAAGTAGCCATTCACTGTTTCTTAATATTTTATGCATTTAAATATAATTTAGCAATTGATAAATATATAGCTTGTTCGTCAAAGTATCTCCGAATACTTGTACGCATTGCTTTGAAATTATTTAACACTTGGACTTAACTATAAGCTTACGAACTAATTCTCAATACGATAACTTAGAGCATTTTTAATGTGATTTATATGTTTTGTTGGTTGTTTTATATTTCCCAGGGTTAGTCAAGGGAAATAATTGCTTTTAGATTTTATTGTGTACGTTCGACTTTGGTTGAATGTTCCATTATAAACTTATTGTTGATTTTTCACTTTTTACTTACCGCTTTTTCAATTATTTTCAAGAATTAGTTTGTGCCTATGCACATCAATTGACTAGCTCGTTGAGAGTGTGTTGGTGTGTGTTTGTTTGGTTTAATTAGTGTCGGTGTTTTCATAGCGCTTGGTTTATAAGAAAATATAACAACGCCAACCAATAAGCAAGAAGCCAAAAAATGAGAGGTCGTAAAATGAAAATCTTGTAACTAAACTAGGCAATTTGGGTTTTTCTATTATTTGTTAAGATCTAATAACCTGATTTGTGAATTTTGCTAAAAATTTGGTCCTCATTAGTCACTCAAATCAACACTACATATCCAAAACGAAAACTCGTTGTCCGCGCTATTTTCACGTTTTTATAGATCGGTCGAAAAGATTCGCTGGAGGAATCTTTAGCAAACCTCTTTACACAAGTTTAGTTTAACTTTCGTATGGTTTTCTCGGGTAAAAATCGAAAACCTCTGGTTTTGACACCTTCAAAGTGATATGCGTTGTTTTTTAGCCTTCACAACAACAGTTGATGAAATGTTTACTTTGTTTTCTTCCCTGGGTTTTCCTGGGTATACCAAAAATTCTACTCTTAGTATGCAATTTGACACATTTTGAGAGACGCCTCAATATATAATTGATATATACATATAATATATAATTTTTTGTTTTCGGTTTTACTAATTGAATATATCACGGTCTTGCTAAATATCATAGTATGTATATATATGTATCTGTATCTAACTGTATATGCATGTAAATATCTATAAAGTTTTCGCCACTTGCTGCATCGGGTGAACATATTTCAAGGCTATCTAACCCAACTATTCAAATTCCTAAAACCACCGTCCAATCCGAATCCAAATCCAAAAGGCTCCTCGGATTGGTTTCCATGTCGATTACATAGTATAAGTACTTCTCTCAGTTTGTTAGGTAATTTGGTTTACGAATACTGACACTTGAATGCTGAAACACAGTTGATCTTATTGTCATATGATGTATGTGTGTATGATTTAGGTAATATGTACGTAGCTAATGCTAATGCCTTGCTAATGGGGGACATCTGGGATCTCGGCTTGGGGAGCAACTGTGACAGATGATATGAGGTTGTCTCTGCATTATCTTGGAGATTGCCGTTGTATATATAGGGGATGTTACTCAATTGACTACTGTACATGTTTCATCATGCGTTTTGTTCCATAAATGTGTGTATATATCTATTTTATAGGAATAAGTAACTATGTTCATCTAAATATGCTGAATGTCAATAAGTTGGTTGTAAACCTACGAGAAAAACGAAATGATAAACTCGAATTCGAAGTGTGTAGTGTTGGATATATATTACAACAAGTTCTTCATGTAATTTTTAGCCCGATAAATAATGAATCAAAATCAACTATATGTCTTTGCATACAAAATTTAACTTTTAACCACGTTTAACGACACGAAAAGAAATTAAAATAACTGATTTTATTTGAATTTTTTTTTTTAAACTTGTGGGCTGGCTGAAGTGTGATTTTTGTGATACGGGTGTTTTTTCGATTTCTTTCTTAAAATACAAATCAGCCAGTCCTACTATTGAGCAATTCAACTATTGATATTGGTAATCAAAAAAATATATATGTATATGTATATATTTATAGAGAGAGCGCTAGATAAGTATGTTCGATCTGATTACTATATATCAAAATTAGCAAGCTACTACTTTGGGTATATATCTTTGGTACGAGTATGGAAAACAAAACATTTCATTGGATATAAGAGGTATATTGTTTTTATATCAAACTCAGACTGTTGCAACTTTTACGAGTAGAAATATCTAAGTAATCTTACGGCTTTTGTCGCTCTGGATAAATGTTGAAGCATACGGAAAAGAAACCAAAATTTGTAAGTAGTTCCGAGGAATTACAGTAAACATAGGCAACTATGAGAGCATTTTTTGACTTCTTGCGTTATCGGCTAATACAAATAATGAAAAATGCAATAATCAAATATAAATATTTTATTTGGTTTGTTTTATAAAGAATGTCAATAGAACAAATTACGTGTAAAAAAGGAATTTGTCGCTTTGTTCTTCATGGATGGCAGGGTAAAATCAATCTTATGCTAAAAGCAATTGTTCTGATATCGAGATCCGACGGAGGAGTTAAAAAAAACTATAAATATTAATATTGATAAGTAAATGGCACCATAGCGTGTGTGTGTGGAATGTGTTAGAGTCTTAAGCGTAAACAATAAATAAATAAATTAGTTTCTGCATATGGAGATGGGACTCGGGCCTGAACAGAACCCAGCAAATGTAAAATGAATTTTGGTTAATATGCAAGATCTTTGGTATACGAAAACGATAATACATCATACTCACCCCTCGAGGCGAAAATCTACGGGAATTAAAAACAACTCTCCACAATCGCACATTCGTTAACTTTTTTTTGGTACTGGCAAATGCATCGAAATGTAATCAATTCTACACATGGGTGAGAGGAGCAGAAAAGTAGAGAGAGAGACAGCACAGCACAACAACAGATCAACAGATACAAAAGTGTGTGTTTACGAGGTAATTAAATCAAATAATACGGTAAAATAGTATGTGGTCAAGTATTTACAGTCAAATTAATTCAAATCATAAGAAAACACAAATGGTTTGCTCCACTCATAGCAAAGTTGTTTGTTGTTTTGTTCGTTGGTTTTTATTAACACAAAAATTACTTCAAATGTTTCATTGTTTTCCATATAATGTGTGTTTGTGTGTGTAATGTATATAAACTAGATATTTACATACGCAAAGAATTACTTTCCAAATGAAAACTAGTAATTAAAACTAAACTTCAAACATGCAAGCGAATCAAATGAGACAAATACATAACTAACCAGGAGCTTCTGCCCCGGTTTCCTTCTTATTTCGAATTGGTTTTTTTTTCGTTTTGTTTTTGTTCTGGTTTCAATGGGTGAAGTACTTGTCGAATGCAAAATCAAATGCAAATGCTACAGATAAGGGTAATTACAAAATAATATTAAGAACTAAAATTGTGCCATTTAAAACAATAAGCTACAGAGTAAAGTAATGTTACCTGGATCATGAGTTGTTTGGTTGGTTGGTTATGCAAATGAAATACGAATCGGAAGGGGGATGGGAAATCTAGGAGATTAGTAGTGCCCTAAGGACTTTATTCTCACTTGAATGTCTTAAGAACTATAAAAGAAGCGCTAGTCTAGAGTACGTTCTGACAATCGAACTAAAGAATAAAATATGCAAATGCCAAAATGTTCAACAATTGTTATTCAGTAGTAGTTACTCGCTACAAATGGTTGAGATTGAGTGGAGACTAAACTAGTTTTAAAACTAAATCAAACAAGAGTCGCACACACAGAACACAACAAAAACTTGGGAGGTTCGTTGTGGATTTGTATTTTTACAACTATATATTATTAAGTACAAAGAACGAGTTGGGGAGATAGAAAGAAGGAGGGTGGGGGAGTGTTCGTGTACGTGAGTAGGTGATGTTTGTTGGTGATTGGCTGTAACCTATGCTGGGTGAATTAAATTCAAACTCAACTCTAAAATAATAGTTTCGTATTTCGCCTTAGTTGGTTAGCTTGGTTTAAACGTTAATCAATAACTCTTTGTCTTGAGCAAAATGTTTCCTTTTACAGTTTCATCCGATTAATTAATACTGCCCTTGCAGGAGCTTTTCATTCGTTTCATTTCAGTTGAGTTTATCGCTCCGAAAAAATAAACAATTCTTTTACTTTCGATTATTGAGCGACTTTCTTTGTTGAACGTGCGTGAGTTAACTTAGAACATTCATTGCTTGCTCCTTCTCTTTTATAAATATGTGTTTATATTTACTGTTAGTTTATCATTTGTTTATTTTAATTTAGGTTTAGGTTTAGGTTTAATGGTTTTATTTTATGCACTAAAAATTATATATTAACGGCTACATTTAAACGCAATCACAATCGGTGGTTTTTTAATGTGTTTTCTTCTTTTGCTTCTCTATCGCTCCGTAATTTTTGCTTTTTGGTTTTGAATTTTGTTTTTCCTTGATTTCGCTTTGCTTTTCTTCATCTTTTGTTTGTTTGTTGCTTATATTGCTTATGATTTGTTATATTTATATGTATATATATTTAATTAGTTAGTATTTATTGAACTCGCCCGCGGGCGCCTTAAATATAATACTTAATTTGCCTTCCGTGTATCGGACTACTAACTAAGCCAAACTCAAAGGAAAACCAACTTCAGATGAGTGTGTTTCTGTGTGGTTCAATGGGTATTGATGGATGGGGGCCATGTGGATTTCGTATGGATCTACAGCTAGGGTGGTGTGTTTGTTCTTATGTGAATGAGTGGGTTGGGTTGGTGTTGTTTTTTTTTAGTGAGTGTTTCATTCAAATTACCAAACAAAACGCGCGTCTTAGACGTACATGCCCATGCCGTACATGGTGCTCCAGTCGACGCCCTGGAAGCTGGACATGTCCACGTTGGCCAGCGCGTAGTTCGAGTAGGCAGCCGCCGGATTGGCAGCAGCTGCGGCGGCGGCGGCAGCGGCGTTCAGCGGATTGCCGGCAATGAGTCCCGCCTGCTGGGCTGCGGCGGCCAAGCTGTGGGCTCCAGCGGCACCGGCTCCATTCGCCGCGTTGGCCGCCAGAGCGGCAGCCGCCGCCGCGGAGTGAGCCTGGGAGGCGGGATTCGAGACGGCGCTGTGGTGGCTCTGCTGCTGCTGCTGGGCGGCGGCCACGTGGGCGTTGTGGGTCTGCTGCTGGTGGTGGTGCTGCTGCTGCTGTTGCTGCTGGTGATGGTGGGCAGCGGCGGCCACGGTCTGCGCCTGATGGGCCTGCATCAAGGCGGCGTTGGCAGTGGCGGCGCTGGCGGGGATCGAGTAGGGTGCATACCTACAACGGTTATCGATTAGTCAGGTTCTCTATAAAGTATTCAATATATCAAACTAACCTCATGCTGTGCAGCGCGGTCTGCGGATATGTGGTCAACAGCTTGCCGAAGCCCGCCTGATTGGCCATCGAGGCTGCGGCGGCGGCGTTTTGTACTTGAAACGGATTCTGTGATATGAGAGCGGCCTGCTGGGCGGCGGCGGCGGCTGCCGGGGATTGCAGCAGCTGCGTGGGATTCTGGAGCATGGCCAGCGGATTCATGGCGGCCACGCCGGCGCCCCGGGCTCCGATCAACTGGCCCGTGGCGGTGGGCAGCGGCACGCCCAATGTGCCCAGCATGATGCGCTTCTGGATGAGCTGGGAGGCCGGGGTGACCGCCTCCTTTGGCTGCGCCTTCTTGCACTCGACCTTCTTGTTCTTGATGGTGTGGAAGTGGATCTCGCAGACGCGATCCACCACGTCCTCGTTCTCGAAGGTGACGAACCCGAAGCCGCGGTGGCGCTTCGTCTGCTGGTCCATCAGCATGACCGTCTCCTCGACGGGTCCGAACTGGCTGAAGTAGGCCTTCACCTCCTCCGCGGAGGTGTCCTGCGAGACGCCGCCGACGAAGATCTTCTTGGTCTTGTTGGCCTGGCGCGGTCGGTTCTTTGGGGTGGCGTGCTTCGGATCGATCTTCTTGCCGTCGAGCGTGTGAATGGGCACCTTGAGAACCTTCTCCACGGTGCAGGGTTCTTGGAATGTGATGAAACCAAAGCCGCGACTGCGCTGTAGGTGTTTAATGAAGGTTTGATGTGTGTGTGGGTGTGTGTGTGTGTGGTTGGGGAAGAAAAACAAATAAACACGGAGACATTAGTACGGAAACATGATCGACTTCTAAACAGAGCTTCGGTTAGAGGCGGCTAAGACTAAGTTGCAAATGTTATAGTTATATAACTAGGATTAAAATGTCCTACGAAACGTTAGCAAAAGTCCAACAAAGTAAGAATCAATCAAATCGATCGGAACTCGACCTTCCACAAGTTTATTAAAAGTATATATTTATATATATGTATAGATATATGTAAACACAGATACGGATACAGTCTATATGCATGTATGTAGATGGCTTTATCGACTGAATTGGGCGTGGCCTTTTACGCTTTTTTCTTATCAAATTTGCTTTGTTTCCTTTTTTTTTGTAAATAATTATTATTGTGGAGTGAACACAAACAAGTTTTAATTTAAATCCAAAGAACACAAAATATGTATCAACTAAAACTAAAATTCTTCTAAGAATACTTTTGCTTTGTTAACATAATACCAATATTTATACGCAAGTAGATCGATCGTTATAAGGTCATTTGCTAACTGGAAAATACATATATCATAGAAACATTACGAAATATACGCATTCAACGTGTTCTTTTCATACTGATGCGGCACCCATCTAAATCCCAGATATATGTAGGTACAGGAGGCATAGATATGTACACGAAAACTGGAGGATACCAAAAACATTCGTTGGCTCCGCTGTGAATGCGAACTCAACTCAAGGATATAAATGTGTGTCAATTACATATGGTGTATATGTATGGTATAAGGCATTAATATATAAAAAGTACGGATAGTGCGTTTCAGAGCTATAAGAAGTAAAATATAAAACCAAATCTACGTGGTATTCAATATTAATCATCTTTTGTTTTGTGATTTAAGGATTTCATTTTCCAATGAGCTCTAAAACGCACTATTTTTAAAGTATAGATTAATTGAAAAAGTGGGAATGATCTAGATATGTGTTCTAAAAATGAACAGCGTCTCTTTTTTTTTTGCTTTTCTTCTTGTAAGTTATACCCGCTTTGCCATACAATTTGTTTTCTCGGTTAGTTTTGCTTAACAATTACGTTATAGTTTTTACAAAGAATGATTCTCGAATTTATGATACTTGTTGCTTATTCTAAATATAACAATTCTTGTACCTGGTAAATATAATACAGTTATGGGGAATACATTATTTCCTTAAGCCTAAAGCAAAGTTGAGTTAATTGTCTCAAATACAATTTATTTTACATAATTTCAGAGAAATATTTAAGAAACTATTAGACTACCTAACCTAATAAAAAATGTCTAGTCTTTAAATTACCCTTGGGAAAGTTATTTTTCTTAAGGACGATCTTTTATTAGCGGGAATTGGTGGGAAAACAAAGCTATCTACTTACATACACAGGACCTAGGATATATCCTATAGGTTTTGCTTCATTAGAGAATGTCGAATTCTGGGTGTCCAATTACTAAGCATAATGGATTTCTTTCAATTTATATGTGGTTATATAAACGCTCCCAATAACAGAAAACCAACAACTCAAAACAACTAAAATTTTTTCTTGATAACTGTTCCAACTACAAAACTTAAAATACATGTAGTACGATTTAGCTGGTTAATTTTGATGATTTGATATGCCAAAGAAAATTAAAAAGCATTAACTAAACACACAAACAAAATGTCGCATAAGGGTTATTTTACGAAGGTCTAGCGTTTACGGGGTCTTGTAATATGGTAAGAAATATGTATGTATTGGGTAAATAAGGCTAAACTAAGGTCTTATTTATGTTACACAATCAATTCAATAGTTGCCAAGACGATTTTCTTACGATAAAGTGGGAACGTGGGCATTGGATAGTATTATTGGGGGTAAGCACGCCTCTTCGAACTATGATTTGAATTGAGTTCTAGTTGTAATAACTGTGTAAGATATGCAACATATACTCGTTGATTTTTTTTTGTATTTGAGGCTTGCTTATATTAAATGCATTTGATTTTGCTCAATACTTCTTTTTTTGTTGGGTGAGAAACGCTAAGGTAAACCAAGTACACAATACAGAGTACGAGTACGATTAGGAGTAGAACGAGTACATTCAATTAGAAATACGATTACAATTATGCAGTTATTATTGCTCAGAGTTATACGAAATACGAGAGTTACGATGCGCCATTTTCGAGTAATTCAAGTACGCTAAACGTTCTCTTTTTATACAGTAGTTAAAGTACTTGGCGATTGTTTTGTTTTGTTTTATTATTCGTTTATAAAATGTACCTAAGCCGTCGCTGCTTCATCATCCTGTGGTTGGCATCGTGGTTACCGGGATCTCGATGATTCCTTAATGGGCTTCCGGCCATGTCCTTGACTCGAGATTCCTCACTTTTGATTGTGGTTTTATGTTTATTAAAATTATGTTATGTTAAGTAGTTCATACATTCAGTGTACTACATATGTCTAGCTATATAATTGACTGATCTTAGGTGCTTATGGACTACAGTTCCCCCAGCTTATCGCAAGGATCGTCGATCGTCTTCATAAACGATCTGCGGACTGAAGACAGTTGGTAAACCAGTTTTCTTCCCGCTTCTGTTGTTTTTCTTCATTCTTTTGTTTATTTCTTGTTTTTGTATACTCTTTTTTTTTGAGGGGGAAAGGGAACAAAAGGTGTGTTGTGTGTGTGTGTGTATATCTTTCGGGGTCTACTTGAGGGGACAGGACAACCCCGTTAGTCGATCGCGGCGAGTATAACTGCCCTATCATGCAGTCGTGGCAGTCGGACTCATTCCGTAATTGCGCAATTGGCTCGGAAACAACCCCAGGTGTTCGTCTACGTACAGAATTTGTCCTGTGCCGAATCCAGCTACAGCGAACCCTAGCTGCAGAGGTCGCAGGAACAGCTGCGCCGGAGGAACAGGACTCGGAACAATGCGGCAGCTGCTGTTTTATGGCTCGAAAGCAGCGCGCGCGCTCCTTTTCGTTGGGGAGAGCCACATTGTATATAATCGAATTGAAATACGTGTGTATGTGGCTACAAAATACACGTAGGATATGCGGATAACGTCCGCTTATCAAGCGGACAAATTGCTCAAAGCATTAAGCATTCCCAGAAAGCCGATTTCCGTTGCAATAACTCTGCATTTTCGGGGGAAAAGGCCTATCCCAAACAATCGCTAACTTTGACCTTACCAAGAAAAAGTAATTAGGGATTGCACTTGGACGCATTAAATCGAAAAGTTAAAATACAAAAAGGAAAGTAAAACGCGTGGCAATAAAACTATACATCTTTGAAAATGAATTTAAACTTTTCGTTAGTTTAAAAATAAAATTTTATGCGCTTCAAGTTCTCACAAACCGATTGCCAGCATGTTCAAAAGAAAATTGTTACACCCTGCATACAAATTATGACAGGGAAATTGGTTCTTGAGTTCGCGTCTCAATAAACAGTTCCGAGGGGATCAACCCCGACGAGCTGATCTACATATAAAACCTGATTAAAATAAATTTGGTTCGGTGGTCCTCTCGTCCTCTTTCTCAACCTCCTCCTACTTCTTCTTGTTCTTGCCCTGTCTCTTTTGTTTTTGGCACGTAAGGCCGAAAGAACTGTAATTCTAAACCTCTGCTGGAAGCAGACGAAAAAAATCAGGAGAGGATGCAAAGAGGGCGACAAAACCTGCAGTTTTGCAGCTGTGCCAAAGGTAAATCACAAAGAGCAGGGACCGATATATTCAATGGTAGCTGTAAACCCGAAAGGCAGGGGGATTATGGAGGTACATCATACAGGATAAAATAGTGAATAGAAATAGAGGATGTTTCGGCTTACCTGGGTGACGGGATCCTTCATGATGAGCACATCAGTGACGGTGCCGAACATGTTGAAGTATTCCTTGAGTTTGTCTGACGATGTCTGCCAGCTGAGGCCCCCAACGAACAGCTTTCCGGGTGCGGGATCCGAGCCACTGCCTCCGCTCAAGCTGGGCGTGGATCTGCCGGAGGAGCCGCTCTTGTTGCTGCCCCCCATAGCGGTCTGACCGTTATTCTGTCCCGCTCCGGCTGAAGCATTTACGTTCTCCTTGAGCAGCGCCAGAGCGGCCTGCTGAGCCTGCTCCTGGCTGGGCTGATCCTGTCCAGCGGAAACCACCACGGAGTTGGGGGTCTGTTGCACCGTCTGCTGCGACTGCTGGGCGGCACTCTTGAGCACCGCCGCTGTGGTCAGTCCGCCGCCAATGGAGGCCACGCCATTGTTGGCTATCGAGGCCACCAGGGCCTGGTGCAAGTCGCGGTTGTGGTGCGGATCTATGAGTCCTGCTGCTGCAGCGGCGGCTGCTGCGGCCGCGTTCTCCATGGGATTGCTGCGAGCATAGAAGAAGCTATCAGCGGTGAGCAGGTGATCCTCGCCAGCGGTGGGTGGCGGTGGTGGCTGGTGGTGCAGCATGGTGGCGCCCTCCTGAAGCGCGTGCATTTCTTGCTTTATCTGAATTTTGAAGGCTTTTCCAGTAACGTTTGGTAAAACAAATAACGTCACTTGGTTTATGCGAATTTAGAATTTTTAAGCTGCTATCCTTTGGGTTTTTATTCTGTATAATTTTCTTTGGTTTTCTGTATCCCGTACCCTGTATCCCGTCACTTGTATGGCTTCCAAAAAAAAAGAAGTGTGGTTTTTCCCACTTGCTTTGACTACGCTTCCGTTTTTTTGGCTTTATTTTGTGTTGTTGCCAATAGCAATGAATAGCCGTTTTTTTTTGTTGTTCAACAAGCTCGCGAATTAATGCAGAGGGCTAAAGTAATAAATAAATGGAAATGTTCTAGCAACACGACACTAAATTTTATCCTGTATTTGTTTCGCTCTCAGTTTCTTGCGGTTGCGACTGCGCAGTTTGAAAATTCGACTCGAAATGACAACTGCTGTTCGCCTTGTGCCTCAGTCAGGATGTTCGGAACCAGCGTGCGCAAGGGAATGTGAAAAGGTGGACAGCTGTCAGGGAAAAGAGGGTTGCCAGGTAGCCGACCAGTGGCAGCTGACAGGGTTGCCTGGTGTGGAAAAACTTTTATATCTGCTAATTGTTTATGGGTGTAGGCTTAAGTTTAATCGCTTTTAGGGGCCAATTTTGAAATCAATAAAAACTTACATAATTTACAAAATTTAACCTTTACATATTTCAATAACCCCCCTCAAATATTATTGCTTACGCCTATTAATAGTCCCGAAAATAAAGGGAGTGTGAGTATGTGACAAGTGGCAATAAATAGGAGAGTGCAATGTGTTGTTGAGAACGTCTTCTTCCACTTGAAAGTGTTGAGATTATAAACACTTGAATGATTTATGATATGAAAGTGACTCTATTAGCATTGATTGGGTAATTTTTCAATGCTTTAATTTGCAAAACTTTTAATAAGCCGTATTATGGCTAAATAAAGTTCACTGCAAGGATATTTAAATGTTTAAACACGTACACAAAATTATTTTTGAGTTCCATCCCACAGGCATTACCGATAATAGCCATTACGCTCGTTGCATTCACGGCAGAAGTTATAAGTTGGTTAAAGATCGCCTTGTCCAGACATGATGTTTCATACACTGCAAACTCGGCAGCCTGTGATAATCTCGAGACCCGCCATAAGTTTTTCTACCCTCCGAAATACCTCAAGGTTAGTCTACTTCTATTCCGATCCAACTATTACTCTAACCCTTTCTTATCCCAGTTTTTGAGATTTAACCAACAGTGCGAGGTTCCACAAGATTTGATTCGAGCCAAACAGGGCGACACAGCAGGACCATCATGTAAGTTAATTTCCTAGTTAAGCAAAGCATATTTTTCAGCAATGACAATCCATATAATTATAGTTGAAAAAAAGAAGTAGCCGTGCTTAGGTTGGCCTCTACTGTGTAATAACTTCGAAAGTTGGAGGAGGATCAAAGCAATGGTAGGAGGAGGAGTAATCTGTAAGTAGCCAGAACATGGTTCTGGAAGCAGGACAAGGATATTTAAAAGCGTTCAGATGCATTGGAGGTCGGATCTAGAAGTCGAACCATTCAACACAACCCGCAGTTGCTTGATATGGATTAGCGAGGGTTTGGATCGACTGAAATTGGCCTGAGGCCTCCAATCTATATCTATAGCAACTGCAACGTTTTGAACAACAATGCAACATTACTGCTGACCGGAAGGAAAAGGAAACCCAGTTCCCACCTCACGTACCTCACGTACCTCACTACAGAATGGTAATGGTATTAAGTTTTGATAAAGTATTAAAATTAAAGCCTAAGTTTTTCAGGGAAAAAGGAAAAACATGGACGAAAATTTGAGCGCAGTGGAAATCTATATTTATTTTTATTGAATATAACCAATAAAATTTTATCTGTTTACAGCTAAATTCTGAACCACACAAGGGTCGCACCGACCTCCGGTTAATAATACCATATTATATATTATATTTTTAAGGTATATACATAAGGTATCAATTTAACACATTTTTTCCTAGTAGAAGTATAGGGATTTTAAAAAGGTTTTTAACCCCTACTGATTCTAGAGCAAATCTTAAGCTTTTGTGACTTCAACCCACAGGTCATTCCTGTTATAGTGATATCTGTGGTTGGCTTGATTCTGAAAATCGGGGTCATGATTCGTCTGGCATTTGTTAAGGACGACGTTTGGTTTACCAAGGATTCTGCATATTTCGAGTTTATGGAGACTCGCCGAGGTCCCTGGTACAGAATAGAGAGCCGAAAGGTATGTACTTTTGTTTTTGACTATTTATTTATAATTTATTATAACAACATTTTTAAACAGTTCGCTGGCCGACCTTACTACGATATGCCAGAAGAATTGCTTTTGGCCAAACAAGGCGATGTCAGTGGTCCGTCATGTAAGTTTGTTTTAATGCCGATTTTTCAGCGCTTCCCAGAGATTTTCTTTGAATGTTGGCTCACATAGTAAGATTATGCTTTTAGCTCACCCCTACTATTACTATTTTGTACTACTTTTTGTCACAGTGCCGATCCTGCAGGCTGGGAAGCGTTGAAAATTTTCATAATTATTATGATTAAACTCAACTAATGTTTGCAAAATTTCACGCTTTCCAGTTTCGGGGGCCGGTGACAAAAATAAAGATGATGGTATAAGAGTTAGTCAACTTGTAGGACATGCAGTTTTAACAGGCCTAGCTTTGGGCTTGGCCTCACTGCTTCAAATAATCAGATCATACTCTTGAATAATAATAATAAAAGCATATGAATGTCCCTTTTTAGTCTCGTCAAAGAACCTATATTTTAATTTTGCGACTTATTTTTAACAGTTGATGAAAAAAAAAAGAAGTAAAATTCGCATGGTTGGGAGGTGGCCAAATAAGCATAGAAACCATGTATTTTATAAACCTGACCATTAGGCTGCCATCTTGTCAACTGGCCTTAAGGTTTCGGATCCGCTAAGAAGATTCCTTATTATATGATGATCCAGACCCTTCAAAAAGAGGTATTATATGCAGTAGTTAAGTTCAATTAACTTTTAACATCTACAAGCCAAGTTTTGAAAATCTTCACGATGCCGCTCAAATTGCAATCCGTAGTTTTCATAAATTTGATGTATTAAATTACTATGCTAATTAAAATTGTAAGCCCATTTAAAAAAAATTAACAAGCCATTATTCGTTTGGGTTTTTATTTACATCGCTTAGTTTTCTCTTCATGACCTTCAGAGGCGCCCTCTGACGGCGAGAAGACAACATTTTAGTTTGGTATGTAAAAAATGTACGCGATGTAAAATTGGTAACGGAAGTGTAAATAACATAATCGGGGGTGTGTCATGCAACCAAATTAATATCTTTTAAAAACCAACCATACTAAATGAAATTCTCAAGTATTGTTAAAAATATTTGCATGATTTTATAAACTTCTTGTTAAATAATAAAGGAACCTAACAAACAAATGTATCGAAATGTAATCAATTTAAAGGACACCAGAAAAACCCTCCGGGCCTTCCTAGACATGTAGATGGGTGCTCAACGACAACCGATTGTAACTAAGTAAAACAAAATAAATAACTCGCTTAAATATGAATATGTTTTGATAATGCCCTCAGCAAATTGCTGTACCTCTTGTGTGGACATCCTTTTTATGTCCTTCCTTCCTTCCAAGCATTAACTCATTTTCCATTGCGTCTGCGCACTGTATCGAACCGAAAAAGGACAAGAGTTCGGGGAAAAGAAAATTCCCTAAAAAAATGAATTGGGCGCTGCTTGGGACAATTTTTCGTCTTAAATTGGGACCATGTTTTTTTTTATGTGCCAAATGGAACGCATGTGTGTGTGGGCAAAAACAAATGGTGGCTGCGTTATGTGCGTTATTGATTTTTGGCCCCGGAAACACGAAATAATGCCAAAGGATATGAAATTTATTAAAATAGATTGCAAAATAATTCAATAAAGATGTTGAAAAGCAAGCTTTGATGTCTGAAGGCGAAGGCGGGGGTGGTTGGCATTTTTTTTGGGGTGGGATTTTCATCTGCACGTGTGTGGTTGTGTGGCTTTTCCTCCGTCGGTTGTTGAACTTTTCGAAGCGTCGTCTGCAGGATTTTTTGCCGTGTGAAAGACGTCTGTCAATTTTATGGCTACTGACCCAGAAAAACGGAATGTTAAAGAAGCCTTTCGATGGCAGGAGATGGAGATGTGTCATAGGTATGGCAAGGATTTGCTGAAAGTTGTACGGGAAAGTCCCCAAAAACGATGGCGATGACATCAGCAGTCGTCACCGCGATATGTAATTCGATTAGGCGCACTTAACGTTTCCCCGCTTCCCCGAATGGAAACCCCTACTGTTCCCATCCTTCATAAGCCACGCATTTTAATTGCGTCAAATAAACAGCAGGGAAGGTGCCTGGTCACGAGCCATCATACAACTTTTTATGGCCTCCCCTCGAGCTGATGGCGTACACATTAAATTAAGCACTTAAAGGTGACTTGATATATTGAAGGACGTTTCTCAAGACGGAAAACACAAGGGAAATCACCTAATCATTAACGGTCGGAATTGTCTTTGGTCAGAAGCAATTATTAAACCTTTATTTGGATTCAAATTATAAAAAAACAATGTTTATATGTTTCCAAGTTTTAAAGGATCTACCAGAATCTACACCACTTTGACATTATTTATGCAACACATGAAATCACCTATCAAATTCCCAAGTGTCCTTTAAGGACTCGCCTGCACAAAGCAGCTTTGCAGGGAATAATACTTTCTAATCCGCACCGGAGATCCGATGACAAACTGCAATCTGAAAATAACTCAATTCGCTCCCCGGGGCCAAAAATTGCAATGCAATTTACCGGATCCGTTGCCAGAAACAACAATAACAATCAGGGAAAAACATGAGAAGGACCAAAAACAAATTGCATGGATTTGCGCTTGAAAAGCCTCCAACAATTCCCCACTCTCTCTCACCTGTCCGATGTCCTTTGCCCTGCAATTTCCACCCGCCGCCCATGAAGTGCATGAAATTTATGTAGACAAGCTGCAGTTGAAGAAAAAACGAAAGAGAGAGAGCGCTGTTTTCATTGAGAAAAATGCCACAAAATGAAAATGCAATGGACGTCAACTCTTTTCGTGCTAAAAGCATATGGCTCAACTTTATTGTTTTTACATTTGATTTTTCCAAAAACGAGCTGCCGAGGGGGTGGTGGGTGGTGTGTGGAAAAGCACTTGCACTGGGCAAAGTGCAGAGGGCCACGGAAAACGCCGCATAAACTCGGTTCTGGGAAAAGTCTATATATCATATATTCGTATGTGCGATTTACGGGGGGTGGCTTTCGCTTCGGTTTTGAGAACTGGAAGCAGCGAAGCTGACTGGAAGGAACCACCCTCGAAAAGAAGCGCCGGTCCGTACACCGGGCAAAAATCTGCTCTAGAAAAACGCATTTCCACCGGCGGGACATAAATCCCGACCGTCAGCAGGGGAAAAGAGAGGAAGACAGAGAGAGAGGGAGATAGACAGAGAGAGGGAGAGAGAGAGAGAGAGACGGGCGAAGCAACCCCCTGAAGTCGGGGGAGATATTTTGCAATTGGAATGCGCGCGCAACCCTCGAAAGCCGACGAAGCCGAAAATCGAGACGATGGTGGCCGCTTCCCTGGGCTGCCTTTCAGTCAACTTTGGGTTTCCGTACGTGCACTTTCTCCCGGACCGATGACGGATCACACGGACCTCGAAAGCGGGCCAGAAACTAACCCAAATCCCTTTTGGATAGCCCCCACCCAAAAACCAAAAAAACAAAAGAAAGCAAGCCCCCGATGTGTTTCAGCCAGTGAACAAAGTGCTGCGAATAAATGATTTCTACAAGCAGAGCAAACCAAATCGGATATATTCCATGGAATCGGACGCTTGCCATTGATATTGTCCTGTCACAGCAGTATTGAAAACTATATTATAGCTTACTGCTGGGTCGGGGCATTAACATTGTTGAGCGTCATTAGCAACGACAGGCGGCGGCGGCAAGGAAAAGCCGAGGAAAACGCACCAAGCTTTCATTCCGGCTTTGTGGAAAACACACACACGCGCACACACACACAACCATTGCGATTGTGTGTGTATATGAGCAACCGGAAAAATCAATTTTCCATTTTTAATTCAAAGCTCACACAGCACAGGACACTCGCACACACGCACACAACGCACGTGCATGTATATATACGGTTATATACGTGTGTGTGTGGTTGTGTCTGTATCGGGCCGAAAAGGGATAAGCAGGATGCTGCAAATTCTGCAGGACGAGCGAGAGGCACAGAGAGCGAAAGGGACAGAGATTGATGGAAAGAGAGAGCAAAAAGAGAGCGCCAGCAGACGGGGATAAATCGCATTTTGTATAGACAAAACGGGGAAAATTAATCAAAATCAATTTAGGAAAATTATAGTCATTAGTTTTTTATGCAGAAAGAAGGAATTATTCAATTTAGAAATTCAAACACTTATTTGCTGGGAGTTTCCGAAAAGGACATCCAAAAAAGAGGCAGTGACCACTCCCTGATTTTTCTCGCTTTTCGTGGGAGTTTTTCTTTGGGCTGAGGAAAAGCCTTAAGGGGGATGCAGAGGCGTACACTTTTTTTGTGGCCCGGAAAATTGTTGCCAGCCCAAAAAGCCGGAAAACTTCTGGGAAATGCCCAAAAGTTGCACCAGAATCAGCAGAGCATCATCATCCTCATCAACCCCTAAATATAATCCCAAATGCATTATCCGGGGAGATTCAAGGGGCCTGCATAAGGATAGCAAACAAAAATCGAAAAAGTTGACAAAGGAAGATGATGAATTGGGAGATTGAGGGACAGGAGCAGCAGGGACAACAGGGACAACGGGGACAGCTGAAAAATGGCATTTAAATGCAGTTCGAAAGGACTGGGTAAATCTGAGAATCCCTAGCCGAGGGTTGTGCTCTCATTCCCTTCAAAATCTCACGTTTCTGCAGTTTGATGACGATGATAATGGCCTAGCTATAGGATTAGCCCACAAAAGGGGGGTGAGATCTGAAATTCGCCGGCCTGATATGCACATGCTGTTGCTATTTGCCACGGCCATTGCCGTTTTGGGCTTATGTTTCTGTCAGCAAGGATCAAAGACTTTTTGGGCGTTTCTCGGCAGATGTAGATGATGTCGGCATGTGTGCGTGTGCGTGTATGTGTGTGTGCCTGTGCTTTGCCTAAATACTTCGAAATTGGCCAAGCGTTTGTTGTGCCCATCAAATTGACAACGCTTAGCCGTGCTTGAGGTAGCCAAATTGATTCTACGAGCAAAGGGGTGACAACGAGGATTGCACTCTGCATCCTTCTGCCATGATTAAGGATTAAGGGTTGTTGCATTTAATATGCAGTGGCGTAAGTGAAGTTGTTTCCGTTTGAAACAAAAATGTCGCAGTTGACATGCAAGCAATGAGTTTGAGTACTTAATTCCATGCGGATTACTCATATACATTTCACAATGTTTCGTTATTATACATTTTTTGTTGTATTTCTTTTACTAATCCGGGCTTGACCGCACTAAATTATCTTTTGACTCTTTAACTTGGTCTTAGTTAGTTACAAAAGAAATATTTAGTTATGATTAAATAATGTATTATTTATTGCCTGCACTTTAAATGGAAAAAATGTATTCAACGTTTACTAACGAAAAAAGCTATGTCCTTAAAAACATATATCTGAAAAGGGTGGCTATTAACCCTTTTTAATGATTAATTACCAAAACAGTATAAAAAACAGGTAAAAGTACTTTTTATAGAAAAAAAAAACCGAAGCTGGTGATAAAAAGTGAGGAAATTACGTTGACCTAAAAATAAAATTGCCAACCAAGTTTGCCGGCATTGCCACATAGACACACACATACACAAATCAGCCAGAGGAGGAAGAAGAAAGAGAGAGAAAAGGACACAGAGAGAGAGAGAGACGGAAGGACACGCACTTGCACTCATGCACTTCAAATATGATGAAAAGGTAAACGTTCAACGCACACAAACGCACGACATCAAGGGACCCGTCGTAAATGGCAGAGGATGTGGATTTGGCAAGGATAAGGAGGATATATATATATATAGGCAAGAGTCCTTTCGGGGCTGGCAGTGCATGTAAATGCGTGGAAGAACTGAAGGGCTAAGGTAAGTGGTTCCCCGTAGCCACCGACGAGTCCTCCACCCACGACTATATGCAAATTGTCGGTGCTTTTGTGGGCTTATTAAGTGCTTGAAAGTGCATTACAAAAAATACACACAGCCGGAAGGTGAGGGGATGCAAAGGGGTGGGAGGAATGGAGGAGCAAGGACCTGCAGCCGGAAAAATGCTTTCAAGTCAACCCACTCGGAAATGAGAACCCGTCGACTGCTGCTCCCTTTTCTCGCTCTCTTACTCAGAATGACAGCATCGAAATGAACAGCTACACAGAGAGAAAAGTGAGTGCTTGGCCCAAAACTATTTTCCAATTTCTTGTCCTTATTACACAATGGGCGGTCTTACACTTGAATTTTAAAAAATGACTCATCGGATAAATGTTTCTTTTATACTTAAACAAAACTAAGGTTTTCCTGAATAAAATATATATTATATTTTTAATTATGCACAAGTTTCCTTTAATGTACCAGTCTAAACAATACCAAACTCTAAACCCTCACCAAACACAGGTATTGCTTACAAAAGTTTGTCCTGCTTTTTGTGTAATTTTGCTAATTAAAAGGTGTGACGAAAGTGGGACCAGCGCCCCATAAAAAGTTTCAAATTACTGAAAGCATCCTTGAACAATAACGTGGCAAGGACAGCTGGCCAGGATCCTAAGACCGCAGCCCAGGCGCTTGCTCATTTGCATAGAATATAGTCACAGGTGAAAGGCAAGAAAGGAAGTCCTTCTCGAAGGAGCAAGGGTAAAAGCGCCTCTGAAGACGCCACTTGAGGTGTTCAGACAAACCAGACATCGCAGCCAAGTGGCCACTTTGGCGTCTGAAGGACTCCGTCGGGCCGGAAATTCCTCTCGGTGTTTGGTCCCTCTCAGGAAAATTAACAAACACGATGCTTGTTAGTAAATAAAAGTAGTTAGCTAAATACCGCGTTTGAGAGCTTTATAACAAAACAACTTAACAAAATTATTATAATTTAAGATAAGGCTACAACTACTACTAACAACATTACATTTAAGCTTAAACTTTGAATTACTTAAATTTTGTAAGAAAGTAATAGATCTGCTTTTAAAGCGTACCAACAAATCAACGATTAAAAAATCATCTTAAGGATATTAAGGACTGTAAAAGCTCTATTGAAAGTACACATCCTTTAAAAACATAAAGCTTTCTGTCTGAGCTTTTTACCGGTCAGAATATTAACTTCAACTGAGCTGAACTTGCACCCAGGACATCGAACCTATGAGAGCTTTCTAAAAAGCTTTTTCTTACAGCTTTATTATTTCGGATAAAGGATAACAAGAGACTTATTTTAACAGGGTCTTAACAGATCAACAAAGACTGTTATTTGTGTCTGTAAAATGTAATTACTAATAATTACTGCCAATATTTTTTTATAAGTATACCAAATCAAATAAAAGTTGATAACTCTAATAAATAAATTATTCATTTTAATTTCCAATACTCATAATAGTTTAAAACCCTACGGGAAGCGCAGTTTCCACAAAAAATAGTTTCCGCTAAGCTTGAAAAGCCAACACAATACAAATTTTAATAAATACTTTGAAGAGACACTTCCTTTGGAAAGCCATCAAATTTGATGTCAACAATCTCACTCAGCCCTAACTGATGTAACAAATTCGTTTATGCCGCTCATTGTTTACCCACAACAGCAACAACGCCACAAAGGCCATGTTCGTATGAGGCACATAAGCCTGAGTCAGCAGATCTGAGGCGACGCATCCTGCTTATGTTCGCAGGATGCAGTGCGACAAGTGCCACTTGAGAAAATGCTTCTTTTTAGGGGTTTGCTGCGAGGCGGGGAAGGATATGCCCGCCTACATGAAGGGTGCACACTCGACTGGTAAATGCTGACACCAAAGACCGGCTCAAGTATTTTGCGGGCAAATAGTCCAGAGGACGGGCACTACCCCTCACCCACTACAGCGATTCCCTTACCCATTACCCTTCACCCCTCACGTATTCTACGTCCTCAACCAGTCTGAATATCCTCGTAATAAAAGTCACTCGAGTGACATTTTTGAGCTTGCGGCCATAAAGTAAAAGGCAAACAAAGCTCAGACTGCCGGAGTTCCTTTTCCAGTCGCTGTTTTTAATCGATTATTGTCGCATTATTGTTTTTTATCCCCCATCTGGCCGATGAAAAACAAATCCTGTCTGAGTGTCGCATTGCAACAACAATGGGGCTTGCTGCAAAAAATGCAAATGCAAAAATCCCAGCACAAAAGATTGTACATTGAACTTGTGCCGTATCACCATCATCTCCTCCCGAAGAGAGGATGTGATTTGGCGGGGGCGAATTGAAATGTCCTCGCATGCTCGTGACATCATATTCAATATACATAATCCCGATAAGAGCGGGGTCTGAGATATGGTTACCTTCGTTTATCTTTCCCCGCCTGAGGGCTCGCTCCTTGTTCACCCTACACAACACGCCTTTCTCGTTGTTTTCGTCACGTTTTGCGATCGGCGATAAACCCAAAGGAAAGCAGCTATGTCCTACGGCAGCTCCTTCGTCCTCGTCGACGTCGTTTCTTATTTCCAGGCAAGAAATGCACGCGCCGGATGTCGTTAAAATGGCGACCGCCGCTTCCGGTGGGCGGAATTCGCGGAAATATGTGAACTTACCTGCAAAGTAAACAAAAGCAAATATGCGAATTTTTGATTAGAACGTTGTTTATAGGCCAGGTTAAGTCAAATGGGCGATGGAGATACTTGGTGTATTTAATATTAAAATAAAGGTTCAATGTTTGACTTAGGCTTACAGTATAAAAATTATATATAACAGTTTCCAGATAAAAAGAACGAAGAAAATAATGGTTTTCCTATACTTTTTACTTGGTTTCTGCAAAGAATAATTGAAATCCCCCAACCGTTTATTTTATTTTTATTTCCTTTTTTTTATGTTTTGGGACTGAACAATATTAAAACATTTAAGACCCATTGACCTATCCCAAAAGAGATTTAACTTTCAGCTTCGTGCGCTAAATGGCCAGAAACTTGGTCACTGGCACACATTTCCCTCCAGCTCCCTCATCCCCGAATCCACTCACCGGCAGAACTTTTGTTGACCGAACAGATTAGCAGCTAATGGGAGAGCACTCTCACAGTAATTTCCGACAACTCAGCCATTAACAATTACCTCTTGTTAAGAAGAAATCAATGAAGATGAGAGTGAGAAAAGTGTGAAGTTCTGCATATTAATAAGCCGAAAAATAATGTTGGCCGTATGTGCAGCTAAAGATTTTAAGTTTGCTCAACTCGGCTCAGTTGTAAATCCCAGTTCGTTGGGGAAAGATCTGATATTCGAACTATGAAAAGTACTGTGCACTTTGTGGTCGTGTTGCAGGCAGGTGACTATCTTCATCACCGGAAATCGGTGAAACATGAGTAACGCACACAAGGGGAAACAAATTCAACCTCTTAATTAAACGCTTAGACTCATATCTAATAATTACAAAATTACCTACATAAAGTGCTCAAAATAATGGAAGGGAAAGTTGAAAATTGCTTTGTATTTAAATTAGTAAATGTTATAACACACTGAATGTGCTGATGGAATTGTTTAATCCGATTGTTTTCTGTGTGCCTTACTCATTTGCGGATTGGTCTAGTTGCACAGTTTCGAGCCTAATGCTTTTCATTTCGTTGACACCAGTTTGTTTGTGGCTCGCTGCAGCAAAGCTGAGTGCGCCTGATTACAGGGCCGGGTTTGAGGACTATAATGTCGCTGCAGACAGCAATCAATTGCAGGAGAAGACGAAGAATCGGAGGCCCGCAGTGCAAGTAAAAGTGACAAATGAAGTGGAAAGTGCCCTCAGAACGAATCCAATGGCGATGGCGATGATGATGCGGATGAGAAATCGGGGCGGTGAGCGGTGGCAGGCGGCGAACTACTTTGACACACAAATGCCATTGCTGTCTGGCCTAATGAGTCCCGGCCGACTGCCAATATTGGATGGGCCGAGCTGGAGGCACAACCCGTCCACCCAGCCCAGTTCGGTTGAGCAGCAATTACTCCGCCTGCAGCCGGACTACAAATTGCTCTACAATGCCGAGCACCACACCTACTTCCACCTGCACACCCTCGTCCCGGAGGACATCGCCACGGTCCGGCCAGGAGCATCGCAATCCGAGGCGCCACCGCACCGGCGACTTTTCCAACAGGTCGTGGGCAACACGCTGACCGCCGCCTTTGGCCTGAACGTGATGAACAAGGGGCAGGTGGGGGGTCAGGTGGAGTTCGCCAGCGAACAGGTGAATCTCTACGATGCCGCCTCCCTGCGACGCTCACGCTTCAATCCCTTCAATCCCACGCGGTGAGTGATGGAGGTGAAAAACGACACGACTACCAGCCGCGAATTTTGAGAGCAATTTTCGGGGTTTTAAAAGTCTCGATTACGATATTTTTGGGAGGACTTAAAAGCAGGAGAATGCGATTTGAAATGTTGTGAAGTTTGTACGAAGCATTCATTAATGAATAGCATATATGTTGGAATAGTTTAAGATTTTATTTTCTTATTGTTCTTTTCAGAATCCTTATCCACGGGTGGCTGGGAAATGCCAATGCAAATATGTACACTGAGCTATTGCCGGCTTATTTCAATCTTAAAACTGGCAACTACAACATATTCACCGTGGACTGGGGACGTGGAGCCATAGCCGACTATATAACAGCCAGTTATAGAGTGAAGCCAGTGGGTCAGGTGCTGGCCAAGTTCGTGGACTTTCTGCACCAGGAGGCGGGACTGCGCTTCGAGGATCTCCAGCTGGTTGGATTCAGCATGGGCGCCCATGTGGCGGGACTGGCGGGAAAGCATCTGCAGACTGGGAGACTTCGGATGATCCGAGCCCTGGATCCGGCACTTCCCTTCTTCAGATATGCCAAGGAAAAGGAGCGTTTGACCCCGGAGGATGCTGAGTACGTGGAGGTACTGCACACCAGCGTGGGCAGTTATGGCTTCGATCGACCCGTGGGTCATGCGGACTTCTATGCCAATTGGGGCAGCCAGCAGCCAGGATGTTTTTGGCATGAGTGCAGCCACTGGAGGGCCTTTATGCTGTTTGCCGAGAGTCTCTCGAGGAATCGAGATGATGGCTTCTTATCCAAGGGCTGTCCAGCCGGTGAATGGCAGCAGTTGACCCGCTTCCATCGCTGCCCAAAGGATACTGGCATTATCCAGAGCATGGGCGGCGATTTGGCCAACGTTTCGGCGGACTTCTTGGCCCAAAGACAGGGTGTCTATTATTTCCTAACAAACGAACAGCCACCCTATGTTTTAGCACAAAATGCCAGCACGGAAAGGGTGGCACAAATAAATAAAGAGAGGAATGGCTGAGAGAACGTAATGAGCAAAATGCAAGTGCAGTTCGCGTTTTTATTTCTAATTAGTAAGAGCATGTTGTACTACACACACACACAAATACACACATATGTACGAGAGTCTGTTTGTGTGTTGTCCCATTTCTAAAAGCCGGCAAAATTAAAAAATGCTACCATGTGTAAAATGCCTTTCATGCCAGTAGCAGGCAGCAAAAAAAAGGGAGTAAAATTTATGAAAACATCCATGCAGGGCGAACACAAAAAACAGAGTGTAGTTCAGTCTGGAAAATCAACTAGAAATAGGTATGACGAAAAAAAGAAATAAAACCATGAACTAATTCCATTTAACAGGACCGGGATCTCTTTGGTTATCAAACAGGTTAAGTGAATCAAATTCTATATTTAATCCTGTAGATATTTATTTGAATTCATTTTTATTAGGAAAAGTAAGAAAGGTTTTTTAAAATTAAACATAAGAGGTAATTTTAGGAAAACAGAGATAAAAGCTCCTCTTGCGTCCCATTAAAATTTTCGCCTGCATGCTGGTATCATAAATTCAAAAACTTGGCTAAGTTCGCAAGTCAAGGTTTAATTGGCCACGGCAGTAACACACCCCGGAAGATATAGCACACTTTGGGGCATTGAGACCTTGGATCTGGCCAAAATGTCGCACGACTGCCGCTAATGTGATTTTTACGCATCATTTGAGTGAACAGCCAGCAATTGGCCGAAGGGCACAACAACAATGAAAACTTGGCCGTTCCGGACGGATGCCATAGGAAATTACGTGAACAAATATTGGCTAAAGCAAACACACATATTGCGCACAGCCTTCCCTTGAGTTTGTAAAAAAAGAAAAACACAAGAATATTTATTCAGAACATTTTTCTAATAAGCCAAGTCTGTTTGATTTTCGTTATCTAAGAAAATGCATATGAAATGTGCGCTTGTACGGAAATGGAAATTAACAAATATACGAAATATTTCAGACTGATACATGTAACTCAAACAACTTTATTGTACTTTGCTTTTAAGGAACTATAGATAATTAAAATATTCATTTGACATATTTTATTGATTGATTTTATAACTGCCTTACCACAAAATGGTCTCCAAATAATTCATATCCTTCGTTTCACTTCAGTTTTAACTTCTTTACGAATGCTCGCACAAAATTAAATGTGTTTCCCTTCACTGGCTGCTCAAACTCAATTAATTTGATTCGGATTTATCACTTGCAGCAGCAATAATAAAATTAGCTTAAGACAAGCCAAGAAATTCACTTTGGACTCGAGAATTTAATTTTTTCCTTGGTTAACTTGTCTGATGATTTCCTTGCGGGCAGACAAAAGAATCGAGTGGAAAACGAATCGAATAAAATCCGCCGACTGTTGCCAGTTGTGCACTGCAAAGCAAACTGAAAATGTTCTCAGCCAAATGGAAAGACTGCAAAAAACATGCAGAAAAGATGGCTAATTTGTGTCGCGTCTTCCAGCGAAGGGGTGAGAACCGAGGGGTTGCGGGTGGGGAATCGGTGGCTTTGGGTGGAGGTTACTCTGGGAAGCCTATGAAATGTGGCCCGCACTTGAGCCAAAGAGTTGACGCACAAACTGCAGCAACACTGAGCTGAAAGCCCGAACGGAAAACTGAGCTGAGCCCTTAGACAATGCATTCCTAATTCCTTTTAGAGGGTGGCAAATTGACAGGGGGAGGCAAGTTCCCGGTACACAAAAGAAAAAAAGTATGCTAAGCTATAAGAAATGTTAGGTTGGGATGTGAATTACCCAACTGAATTAAGTTGTAAATATTAAGGCATGTCATTTACACATTAGCAAACTTTTTTGATAGAATAATAGCCTAATAAATATAAATCATGTAAACTTTTCTGTGTGTACGAAGAGTTTTGAGCCTGTCTGTCTATTCTTTTTAGGACTGGCAGCACATCAAACCGAACTGAGTGCAAGTCCCTGGGAAGTAGTCATAAAGTGTCGCGTTCCGTGCTTCCGTTCCGGTTACCTCTTTCCACTCCCACCCCCTCCCCCGTTTTCCCCTTCTGTGAAAAGTCCTGATACCTGTCCCCCACCCCTCAACCCGCAATGGCTTCCGGCGCACGCACCTAAAAGCGGACGGATAAGTTTGCCAGCTGTTTGTCTCCGGCTGAAAGCGCATATTACTTTGGCCACAAGCGCTCTTCCTGCAGTAATAAGCAGCCGGATTAGTCGTGCTATTCATCTCCTCCTCTCTGGGAAAAGCAGAACATCTTTTATCTGAGAAACTTAAGCAATTGTATTGACAGACCTCAACATTTTTCAAATGATTTCGAGTGTAAGCCTAAGGAATTAAACCATAAATAACACAAAATTCTCTGTATTTTTTCCTTAGTTCATTTCGGTAGCTAAAACTGAAGCTCAGTTTCTGGCTGAATGGAGGGAAACCAATGTTTGACAAGATTGTGGCAAAAAAAAGGAACGTCAGCCCCATGAGGGTGCGAAAAGATCCCCGACAACGGCAACAGCAGGTGGCCTTGGGAGGCGGAAAATTGTTCGGAGCGTGTGGGTGGGCGGGATCCTGTTGTCAACACACACCGCTGGAGGTCCTCGGTTAGGTGACCAACGGAACGTTTATTTAATTGAAAGGTCAGGCTGTTGGATACAGTTGCTCAAACCGTTTGGGGCGGGAAGGGAATGGAGCACCACAACAGTGAATGGAACAAAAGGTTGATTAAAGGGAAAATGAAGATTACAACTGAAAGCGGGGAAAGGATTAGTCGCTAGAAAGGATTTCAATGGAAGTGAAAATTGTTAAAGCCGAGTTCGGTGGACCTAGATAAGGTCAGCTATAAAAAAAACAAATAAAAAACTGAAGCTACGAAAGTACAGTTTTGGGTCACCTTTTGCCAAACCAAAGGAAACTGGAAAAAATCTGATGTAGTTCGTTTAGGAATTGGATTACAAATGTTGTAAGGCACTTTAAAATGGAACTGAAATTTTAGAAGCTTTATATAATACTTTGCGAAAAAACAACCACCCTCGGCGTAAAAGTTGTGGTAACTATCAAATCAAACTAGCAGGTAACAATTACATCATTTTGCAGACAATACCAAATGGAACAAGGACTTTTCGGTTTTTGGGGGCCAGGTCGGTGCACTTATATCCGAAACTCACTCAAACAATTAGCTGAGGAGGCGAGGCTGAGGTCGAGGGGTGTGACTCACAGCGCGTCGTCGTCAACGGAAGCCCTATGAAAAAGTTTCAGTTTTTGCGCAAACAAATTGGATTATTCGATTACGTGTTTGTACAAGCGCATTGAGGAGGTCCAGGGGGTTGGGGGGACTGAGGCGGGGAAAACCAGGTGAGTTGCAGGTGGGCGGGCAGAGCTGAGGTTGGATTGTAAAGCGGCCAAGGGAACAAGTTTTTAAGGGCACCTCTGGGGTTCGGTTTCTTTTTTCATAGGGGTTGGCATTCTTCTTGTTTGATTTTGATTTATTTGGCATTTGTTTGCCAATTGGCAAATGTTTGCAAATCTATAGAGAGCGGAAATGTAATCTATTATAGATAGACTCCATCTCCATCCGATGGAAAATCAAACATTTTCTGCATTTACATTCTTTGTGAAAGAAAAAATGGAATGTCAAACATTAAGCCTTTACTGAATATTGTAAATTGGTTTTAAGGGCATTAAGGTACTTAAACATTTTAAAACATAATACACTGTTATTAATCAATAATATGATTAATATTTAAGCTGTATAAGGGCATTGGACGTTTATTAAAGTAATTAAAAAAGTATAAAATTTTCAACGAAACCAAAGGTATAAATTTCTTTAACGAGTTTTAAACTGCAGCACTGGTGTCCTTAAAAGGTGCCTAAAAATAAAACCCAACCAACTGACCGGCACCCAAATTGAAAGTCAATATAGTGAACAGTTGGCAAACACCTCGTGCTGCCAGCAGCTGAAATTTATTGTTACAAACTGGCTTAATTGCTGGCCAATCGTTGGAAGGGGCTTTTCAAATTCTGCCCGACTCTTTTCTAAGCTTTTATTGAACGGGGAAAGCGGGTGAATTGTGCTCGTAGTCTGGGCACATTGATTGCTTGCTTTTAAAATGAATTTTATATAGTGGCTTTGGCCAGGTGTTTGACACTTGTGCAATATGTGGATGGATGGTGCTCTTATTTATTTTGCTTTTAATTTCTTGTTCGCAGTGAGCGGCCCGCAGCTGTCATTGTGTCCGTCAGATGGTGCGTATGAGTGATTTTTAATTTGAATTTAAACCAAACAAAAGGCAAAAGGCCAGCACACAAGTAGTAAACATCCTTGCTTTAATAAATCTCGAGTCTCAAGGAAGCCCGCAGCTAAGGAAACACGAAAATCAACAAACTAGTGGCAATAAGGCGTCCGGGTAAAGTGTGAAGAGCAAAAGTTCGGGCACTGGGTAGTTAAGGTACAACATGTGCAAGTTATGTACAATCGATAAACTCGAGCCGAGTACATTTTGCTGACTGGCTGACAATTAACCCCTTACGTGCCAATTGGTTGCTAAATAAATTAACCCTCACACACACACACACACACACGAGTCAGCAGAAATCTTGGCATTTTAATTGGCACAGCCGACGCCTTCAAGTCGGCCATAAAAAGTTTGCTTCCAGTAAACTTCAAAGGCTTTAACGGAAACATAACCTTAATGCCAAACGCCTCAAAACTTGGGTAAACTTGAATGCCCGGGCAAAGTAAGGTAATTAAATTAGGCCTTTGTTTACTTTTTGCACAACGCCCTTTCTCTCTATTGTTTCGGCCGTAATATAATGAAAATTAATCAAGCATACGCCATGTGTGACATGGGTGAAATACTTGTAATGGTCAAAAGTAGGGAAGCTTTATAGTAAACACTCTTGAATTACATAAACATTGAAACATTTTCTTGTATAAACAAAAAGGTATTTTACCTACCTTAATTTTACCTTTCCTATCTTTTTCCTCATCGATATTTCCCGCCCGTCGTTCAATACAATACAAATTGAACGGTTTACATTATAATTCTTTGAACGAGTGACGCCATTTCTGGCATTCCTTAACTGTGCAGCGATTCCCCAGAAAGGAAGAAAGGGAGGGACTCCCCGTCACTTTCAACAATGACATTCGGTGACCCCACAATGTGCCCCCTTTTTTTGGCCCTCCCCTGAGTGCAAACATTGTGCAAAATG